CTGAGTCCGGCGGAATTTTTTTTATAATTAATATTTATGTTCGATTCTTCCTTTTTGCATGTGAAAAGCAAAATTTAAAGGCATTTCTCTGTTAGAATTTGTAAGACAGTTCCACAGGTTGGGATTGATTATGGGTTGCGACAAGGGGATTCTTATTTAATTAGTTAAGTGAATTGTGAGTACATTTTTCAGATTTACTAGTTTTCCTTGTCATTGTTTATTTGGGTTGGCCTAGTTCAGTGTATACTTTGTAAAACATATGGTTACATGAATAGGACAGTGAAATGGTTTATTAAAATATCTAAGTAGGCACTTTATTTTAAAAAGAACTATTACACACATTGATGGTCACACTTGTATTTAGCAAAATGTTTGCATTGTGATAAAATGCTTCCTATGTTTCTTTAAATCAGTTACTGATTGTTGTAAAATACAGTTGTGGATATAGCAGCTTACGGGGGTGGGGTGGGGAAGGCTAGTTCCAACTGGGTTAAATGTATTCAAAAAATCTAAGTACAGTATTTCTGTAATTAATAGAATCTTCAGTGATATACTTGGTAGGATATTTCTCAAGCCTATTGGTTTTTACACAATGGTGCTTTATCCTTAATTGTTTTCTTTTCAAAAGAAGCATCTGAACATTTGCATTTCTTTTTCCTTCCAAAGGCATTCACCATGTAAGTGTGTTTTTAAAGTTGGATTAAAATTATTTTCCTGTAAAGCATTTGAAAATGTTGTCATTACTAGAATGGTTTGTACCCACTATGGGTCATTGAACATGAATGTCAGTAGTAGTCTCAATTATGGGAAGGATAAACATGTTAGATTAAGGCTCTAAAGCTCTTAAACCATATAAACCTATGGACTTGTATCATGATTTAACTGTTCTTAATCTTTCTTACACAGTGATTCATTCCTCTATTGTACAGTGGCTTTATGAAATGATGTGAATTGATCCTTATCAATCATAAGTGCTTTAACCAGATTTCATTGTATCTTTTTTTTTATGCACACCTTTTTTTTTTTTGAGTGTTACTGTTGCTCGGCTGGAGTGCGTGTGTGAGTGTTACTGTTGCTCAGGCTGGAGTGCAGTGGTGTGATCATGGTTTACTGCAACCTCAGCCTCCCGTGCTCAAACGATCATCCTACCTCAGCTTCCTGAGTAGGATCGGACTATGGGTACATGCCACTATGCCCAATTAATTTTTATATTTTTTATGGAGACAGGGTCTGTGTTGCCCAGGGTGGTCTTGAACTCCTGGGCTCAAGAGATCTGCCTGCCCCAGCCTCTGAAAGTGCTGGGATTACAGGCATGAACTACCATGCCCAGCCAATTTTTTATAAAGTTTTTATTGAAACAGGGGTCTTGCTTTGTTGCGCAGGCATGTCTTGAACTCCTGACTTTAAGGGACCGTCCCACCATGATCTCTCAGACTGCTGGGATTGCAGGCTTGAGCCAACAAGCCTGGCCTCTATAATTTTTAAATAAGCAATTCTGCTTATGGTGTTGATAAATTATCTTTACTACTTTCTTTCACCACCACATCCTTGGGGGAGGATGAATGTGGAAATTAAAGATGTTATATAATTATTTACAGATTATCTTAAATTTACTTCAAAATGTCGGAGATAAAACAACTTTAGCCATGGGTTGGAAATTCCTGAAGCTGCACAATGGGGTCTTGAAGGTTTATTATGCTTTCCTGGTTATTTCTGTCCTTGATTAATATTATTCTATAATAAAATGTTTCTTTCCCTTATGAGTCCATGCAGGGGTACACAGCACTATAGGTTGAAGCAGAGGGCAAGAATTAATTGCCCTTTGACACTCTGAATATTAGTTCTATTGCCCAGTGAAGCATACTAAGTACCTGTAAATTGTTATGTCTAAGGCAGAAAACTTGAAATGTGCTCCTCCAATGGTATTGTCTCCAGAATTGGTGGGTTCTTGGTCTCGCTGACTTCAAGCATAAAGCCCGGGACCCTCACGGTGAGTGTTACAGTTCTTAAAGATGGTGTGTCTGGAGTTTGTTCCTTCAGATGTTCAGATGTGTCCGCAGTTTCTTCCTTCTGGTGGGTTGGTGGTCTCGGTGACTTCAAAAGTGAAGCCAAAGACCTTCGCGGTTTTGCGAAAAAAAGCCCCCACAGTCTGGAAAGGGACCCCAGCGGGTTGCCACTGTTGGCTCAGGCAGCCAGCTTTTATTCCCTTATCTGACCCCACCCACATCCTGCTGACTGGTCCATTTTACAGAGAGCTGATTGGTCCATTTTACAGAGAGCTGATTGGTCCATTTTGACAGAGTGCTGATTGGTGTGTTTACAATCCCTGAGCTAGACACAGAGTACTGATTGGTGCATTTACAATCCTTTAGCTAGACACAGAGTGCTAGAGAGAAAAGTTCTCCACATCCCCACTAGGTTAGCTAGATACAGAGTACTGATTGGTGTGTTTACAAACCTTGAGCTAGACACAGGGTGCCGATTGGTGTATTTACAATCCCTTAGCTAGACACAAAGGTTCTCCAAGTCCCCACTAGACTCAGGAGCCCAGGTGGCTTCACCTAGTGGATCCTGCACTGGGGCTGCAGGTGGAGCTGCCCACCAGTCCCGCTCCATGCGCCCACACTCCTCAGCCCCTGGGCGGTCGATGGGACTGGGTGCCACAGCACTGGGCAGCGCTCATCAGGGAGGCTCCGGCCGTGCAGGAGCCCAAGGCGGGTAGGGGAGGTTTGGGCATGGCGGGCTGCAGGTCCCAAGCCCTGCCCCATGGGGAGGCAGCTGAGGCCCAGCGAGAATTGGAGCGTAGCACTGGCGGGCCAGCACTGCTGGGGGACCCAGTGCACCCTCTGCAGCTGCTGGCCTGGGTGCTAAGCCCCTCACCGCCCGGGGCCAGCAGTGCTGGCCACTCACTCCGAGTGCGGGGCCCACCGAGCCCATGCCCACCCAGAATGCGCTGGCCCGCGACTGCTGCACGTAGCCCCGGTTCCTGCCCACGCCTCTCCCTCCACACCTCCCCGCAAGCAGAAGGAGCCGGTTCCAGCCTTGGCCAGCCCACAGAGGGGCTCCCACAGTGCAGTGGCAGGCTGAAGGACTCCTCAAGTGCCGTCAGAGTGGACTCTGAGGCCGAGGAGGCGCCCAGAGCGACGGCTGCTAGCATGTTGCCACCTTTCAGTACTGTATGACACATACTAATGACTGGTGTATGTAACTTTGACTTACTCTTTTACTGTATTATACTAATGAGGTGATACCAAACCATTATGAGTTTTCAAGTTTAAGTACTTTCATATAAAGGTTACGGCCTTGAGCTTTGTAAACTAAATTAGCAGTGCGTGATCTTAGACATTGTTTTTGCATGTTGTAGTTGTTACCTAATCCCACTTTCTGTGGCCTGTACCATTTCTTGGGTTATAAATCAGCAATAAAAGCTAAACACCAAAATTAATTTGCATTAGTATACTGCATTCTAGTGTCAATTTGACCAGAAGAACTAAACAGTAATGCAGTCAAAAGAGGTCTCCTCAAGATAACTTACATATCTACCACAAAAGTAATTAAGAATGAAAGATTAAACCTCACTTACTACTAGTATAAATGCTACATTTGTCAATTATCAGGCAAACAGGTTTTATTTTCATCTTGCAACCTTGTATAGTGAAAAAAAATTTTTTTTAAAGATTATACAAAGTTTAATCCTGCAAACATACAAAGTAAACAAGTGTATGTGCAATAACATTGAAGTACATCACTCATAATCACATAATTTCTGTATAATTCATGGACTTGGTCATAGGTGCACATATTTCCAGGCATAAGAGTTGGCTTTCATTATTTTACTGTTCCATTTCCAACATTCATTATGTTTTCACAATTGATCAGATAGAACTACATAAAACAAGTGATGGAAAAGTTGCCATACCAAAGCTACTACACCAGTGGCCCCCAACTTTACTGTGCATCAGAAACACCTGGATGGCTTGTTACACCATAGATTGCTGGACCCCAAACCTACTGTTTGACTCCATAGGTCTGGGTTCAGACCCAAGAATCCACACTTCTTGTAAGTTTGAAGGTGATTATAGCTGTGCGTGGTGGCTCACGCCTGTAATCCCAACACTTTGGGAGGCAGAGGTAAAAGGATCACTTGAGCCTGTGAGTTCAAGACCAGCCTGCACTACATGGGGAAACCTCGTCTCTACAAAAACTAGCCAGGCATGGTGGCGTGTGCCTGCAGTCCCAGCCACCCAGAAGGTGACGTGGGAGGATCACCTGAACCCGAGAGGTTGAGGCTGCAGTGAGACATGATCACGCCACTGCACTCCATCCTGGGTGACAGACTGAGACCCTGTCTCAGAAAAAGAAAAAGAAGTAATGTTGATGATCCACGACCAAACTTTGAGCACCACTGTATTATACTAATGAGGTGATACCAAACCATTATGAGTTTTCAAGTTTAAGTACTTTCATATAAAGGTTACGGCCTTGAGCTTTGTAAACTAAATTAGCAGTGCGTGATCTTAGACATTGTTTTTGCATGTTGTAGTTGTTACCTAATCCCACTTTCTGTGACCTGTACCATTTCTTGGGTTATAAATCAGCAATAAAAGCTAAACACCAAAATTAATTTGCATTAGTATACTGCATTCTAGTGTTAATTTGCATAAAAATATATTTTTGAAAGGCTTCAATGGCCTAGTGTTATCTCCTAAGATATCTTGAAAAATAGAGTTGCACCTGCTGTAAAAAGGCTGAGTAGCATCTAGAAGCCTTAAAAGGCATAGAAAAGGAAGGATTGTGTATTCAAAGAAAAAAAGCCTTAAATGTTATCCCTCCCATGAAAAGGAAGCATAAACTACACGTGGCCAAATGTACTGTGTTCCCTGGGATTGTGCATTTCTAACAAGTGTCTAGGAGATATTGATCTGGTAGTCCTATATTTTGTCTAGCAAATTCCTAGCATGGTGTCATTTTTGTACATTTCCATTCCATCTGAGTTTCAATCAATTTTTTTTAACTTCAAAGATTTTAGTTGATTCATTAAAGAGGAAACTGGTGAGGCATTTCTACCAGCTCAAGGGAGAATTTTGTAAACGTTACATTTATTGATCAGAAATACTGAAATGAATGTGCAAATGGAGGCAAAACTGGTCTCTTCCACAGTGGGGAAGAAAGTCAACTTAACCTCTACTAGGCATAATTTACATGTGTACAGACTCAATCAGCTTTTAATATAGAAAGATATTTGAACCCAAAATCTTTCATTAAGGTAAAAAATACAGTAATAATTTTTGATGAAACCCTGGAAAATTCATACAAATAAAATTAAAAGCCTCCAATGGGGTAGAATCCAGCAATATCCTAGACAAATGCCTCCTGAAGAACAGTTTTTTTAAAACATCACTGTTATCATTCAAAATTCAGACCTCTCCTATCTTTGGCTATTTTTATCTCTTCAAACTTTACTCCTAAAATTGCGCTAGGAAAGCTTTCCTTATTGTAATCATAATTGGAGCAAAGCTGAAAATGTTTCTTTAGAAACATTTAAGGAAATTACTTAGACTCAGATACTTATAAGTGACCATAACAAGCTTTTTATCCTGTTTCACGTCAGTGTTAATGGGAATAAAAAGTAAAAACAGCACATTTATTAGTGGTTCACATAGCTGCCATGATGGCAAAGTGACTGTAACTTGCATAAATAATACACTCAAGGACATTCCACACTCCTTGGTGGTTCTAGCAATGCAATTTATTAAATAAAATTAAAAAGTGACTATTCCCATGAAAGAAAGCATCAAAAACTAGTTTTGAGAAAGAAGATGAAAGGCTCAATCTCTAACTCCTGGATGCCAGGAAGCAGAGTTTTTCAGAATCAAAAACAAATTAAGAGCTCACAGCCCCACCCCTCAGGGGTCACATAAGTTGGTACTGTTGCTTGTAACTAATTCATGATTTTAGCCCTTTCTTTACCCAAAATTAAAACTAAGGACATAACACTCTTCAAAAATACACATACCCTGAGATAGATCATTACCAGAATCTACACAGGGCTTTGCTATTTAGGTACAGTTAGTACAATTCATATTTAAAGTCATTTCATAAAAATAACAACTGTCCCAATCTTACAAGTTTCATTTCCTCCCATCATGGTCACCAAAGTAATCTCTATTGTTAGGATTCTTCATTGCTTGAAGGTAGAAACTGCTTAGCAAAATTCTCCAGCTCATTTTCAAGTTGAACAGCTTTATTTCTAATTAAAAAAAATAAAACACCAATCTAATTACCATAAAAGTCAAGGAGAAAAGTGTATTCCATCCATTATTAAAAGACAAAAACTTTAATAATAAACAACGAAGAGCATAATAGACAGTGGAATCACATCTTACACGGGAGTTATATCCTAAGTTACCTAGAGTCATGATTATGCTTGCAAATTCCCTTTAAATGCACAAAGTACAGAGTGTTTCTTACGGACATATAAGGAAACTAGCAGATGTTACAGCGGCAATGGCATACCAAAAATATTTCCTTTAAACACTAGATTCATCCTTGATGCAGCCAAATGCCCACAAGAGAGGAAAATTGGAACTAAAACTGTCAGAAAACCAGATTTGTTTCCCATTCTCATACTATGCCAGGGCACATATTTATTGCGTGGGCTCTCTCTCTCCATTATGGAGCAGGGAGGGGTCTTGTTTTACTTTATTCCTGTGTGCATATGCTTCAGGTCACACAAGTGAAGTGTACATCAGCTCTGAACTCTACTGTATATATTTCTTGAGGTAGCTCTCCTGCAGCGTTAGCACATTAAATTCTATTCAAATGGCTGAGCCTAATCTAGTAAAAAATGGAGATTCCAAATATTATGGTATTTGATTTTTTTAAACTTTTTTCTATTAGAAAAATTATTAGCAGACCAAAAATATTCATACTTATTCAAGCCAGTCTTTCCCAAATCAGAAAGCTACATGACTAATGCCAATAATCTATTTTATCATTTGTTTTATTATAACAAAATGAAATACTACTTAAAAACTTACCTAGGTATTTCTCTATCAAAAGCTGAATAAATCAAAACCAAAATTAACCACAAAAACTTACAGGGTTAAGTTTAAGGTTAAGACAAAAAACCAATTTCTACTGCAGTTTCACGAAATTTGAAAGGTATATTTGGGATGAGCTGACTTAAAATAGGAGCAATCGAATGCATACAATTCACATGGGTGGGTGAGGGTGGAAATATCTAAATGACAGGCAGTCATCTTTTCCAGAGATTTTGAAACTAAGGTGCAATGAACACGTGTGTTGGTCAGGTGAAGACACTATGGATAATCACTACTATGGGTGTTTTAAGCACATGTCCAAAAATCCAGGTCACAAAGACAGTCCCTCCAATTTGTAAACACTGACTACTAAGCTATTCTTACATGGGCAATTTTGTGTAGTATGTGTCCTAGAAGTAACAGCAGGGACTAAATGAGGTTTAATCGTTCTTCCAAGACATTCTGACAAGCGAGCCTAATGGGCAAGCATAAGTAAGAAAGCTGAAAGTTAAGTTCTTAAGCACTGAGTAAGAATTCCCAACTACAGACCGAATGGTGACACTTTCAGTCTTGTCCCCAAAAGCAAATTTCATTAGACCCTAAATAATATATAATGAATCATATCAAACCAGAAATCCACATTTTATCAGGAAATCTTACTTTTGTTATGATTTAAGTATGCACAATCAATAGTCTCCCATGAAAACAGAAGTTATGAGTCTTGAACATATACAACTAAAAACCACTTTTAATCATACAACTTCTGTTCTGAAAGGGACAAATATAGCCTAATGAAGAGTAAATTTGGATCTATAAAGTTTCTTTCGATTCAGATTTGTTTTCTTGTTGAAATTAGCCTTCGGTGAAACTGCAAAACACATGGAATTCAATATGGAAGATTTTCATTCAAACCAACACAAAGAGCTATTAGGTATGAATACAAATTCATTAATAATTTTACATATTTTGTAATGAGACGAGTAAATGTTCAAATTATTGAGAAGAAAGGTTTACATACCTTAAGAGCTTTGAATTGTTTTGTATTTTCTCCAACTGATCTATTTCTTTCGGTAATCTAGCAATTTCTTCTTCCAGTTGTTTTTGAGTAATATCAACTTGTTGGCACAGGCGAGCAAAAGTGGTAGCCATTTTTCTTAAAATAAAAATTTAGAAGCAGTCATAAATGTCTTCAAAAATGAATAAGCTTTAATTTAAAGCTCACATAAAAAGGAGAACACAAGTTTTAAAAATCTTCTAAACTATAGGGAATCAGAACACTAAGAATGCTAAGAGGGAAGATATGGCACTAGTGGGCTGAATTTTATCCTGGCTCAAGAGACGATATTACCTCTGCTATATGGCTGTGAACAAGAACAAGCTACATAAAGACAAAAGACAGGTCTGTTTCTTCAGAAGCACAATAAACCTTACTCATGCTCGGGACCCTGCCCAATCAAAGTAAGAAATTATCAGGAACAGAAAAAAAATTCCACGAACTTTCGTGACATAGGCAAAAATACCTTACTATAGCAAAATTTAACAATATTTCTAGAATCAAAGGGTTATATTTGAGAGCTAATTAATATAGCAACTTTGGCAAACATTATATTTTTAAATGGGAGCATACCTCTTCCCATTCCACCAAATCTCAGTATTAGACATGAAGCATGTGTCATTCTTTTAATATTTTGTTAAATATTAAATATTTACTTAGTTTATTTTAATTGAGATATTATTTGAGGTTGCCTCCATTAATGTGCCAAGTCTTCTAAGAAAGAGGATCAAGTCAAGTTTTTATTTCCCATAACCCCTAGCATGAATTGCTACATGGGAGCCAATTAATAAATGTTTGATAATCAATGCATGGAAAGCTACATTAACTTTGTTTTTATTTATATGAATTTCAGCTGATTTCTTTGGATGTCCAAATATGTTAATTAGATGAAAACTCATTCTTAATATAAATTACAACTATCAGATAAAATAGAGGCTCAAAAAACTTAGTCAATGAATGAATGAATGAATGAATGAATGAACAAATTCCTCAAATTTGAGGTCTCCTGGTAACCATTCTCTGCAATTATTAACTGTTACTTCAGGCTTTGATTTTGTATCTGAAACAGTTTACCGTTCCTGCAATTCCTGTCTCCTGAGTCTGAACAATTTCATGTACTACTGTAAAGTTATTTGTTTTAGAGCTGAGTGTTGGTGACATCACTCTCAGAATTCCTAATTATCCAAACCCCAATCTACACATACAGACAAGGCCACATCCTGCCATGATGTCAATAACTGAATGTATGTACACAGCTTATATACACGTGCCACACTGAAATTTTTCTCTTCATGTCCTTGAATGCATTCCTTTCCCCTTACCTTCTTGCTTTTGATTTGGGTTGTTGTCTCCATCTCATCTTCTGATACAGCGTGTTCAAATCTCATATACTACACATCTCCTCTAGGAAACCTTTATTGATCTACTATCCTTCATGATTTAAGTAACTTGTACAGCCTTGTCTTATGATAATAGTTTATCATCTTCTTATATTTCTTATCACTCTTACTTTGTATTATAATTATGTAAATGTTAGTTTCTCCCATTAAACTGAAGTTATCTTGAACTCAAAGAATTTTTAAATTCTGCTCTCAAGAGGCATCCAAATACAGAATACTGTACCCTGACTTGACTGGAGTTCTATATATTTTTACCACATGAATGAAACAAATATTTAAGTTGCATAAAAGCAGAAACCGGGTCGACTTAGGTATATGTTATAATAAAATTCTCCTAAGATCTAAAAATAAAATAGCATTTAACTTATAAATTTGAACCGCGAGAGCAAAAATACATTACACTCACCATGAAATCAGGAGTCTGCCTACCATTAAGTTCATTTGTTAAACGCTAAGAATTCATTCAGCTTTCTTAGACTGCTTGGCCAGGCTACCTCTCTATTCATTCAGTTTTTTAAATTAATAAACCACAAAGATCTGGCTGGGCGCAGTGGCTCACGCCTGTAATCCCAGCACTTTGGGAGCCCAAGGCAGGTGGATCACTTGAGGTCAGGAGTTTGACAGCCTGGCCAACACGGTGAAACCCTGGCTCTACTAAAAAAAAATACAAAAAAAGCTTGTAATCCCGGTACTTTGGGAGGCCGAGGCAAGTGGATCATGAGGTCAGGAGACCATTGAGACCATCCTGGCCAACATGGTAAAAACCCCATCTCTACTAAAAATACAAAAAAAATCAGCCAGGTGTGGTGGCATGCACACGTAGTCCCAGCTACTCAGGAGGCTGAGGCAGGAGAATTGCTTGAACCCGGGAGGCAGAGGTTGCAGTGAGCCGAGATCACGCCACTGCACTCCAGAGTGAAACTCTGTCTCAAAAAAAAAAAAAAAAAAAATTAGCTGGGTGTGGTGGCATGTGCCAGCTACTCACTTGAATGCGGGAGGTGGAGGCTGCAGTGAGCCGAGATTGTGCCATTGCACTCCAGCCTGGGCGACAGAAACCACAAATATCTTAAGGGCAACTATTTATTTTTGAGACATAGTCTCTCACTCTGTTGCCCAGGCTGGAGTTCAGTGGTGTGATCTCAACTCACTACAACCTCTGCCTTCCGGGGTCAAGCGACTCTCGTGCCTCAGCCTCCCAACTAGCTGAGATTACAGGCATGCGCTACCAGGCCCGGCTAATTTTTGTATTTTTAGTAGACATGCAGTTTCACCATGTTGGCCAGGCTGTTCTCAAACTCCCAACCTCAAGTGATCCACCTGCCTCAGCCTCCCAATGTGCTGGGATTATAGGCGTGAGCCACCTTGCCCAGCCAGGTACATAAATTTAGAACAGGTACATAAATTTAGAAGATCTTTTGAGTTGGGCGTGGTGACTCATGCCTATAATCCCAGCTACTCAGGAGGCTTGAGGAGGGAGGATCACTTGAGCCCAGGAGGTCAAGACCAACCTGGGCAACATATTGAGACCGTCTCAAAAAAAAAAAAAATTAAAAATTATCCAGGTGTGGTGGCACACACCTGTGGTCCCAGCTGCTCAGACGGTTGAGGCAGTAGGATCACTTGAGCCCAAGATTCGAGGCTGCAGTGAGCCATGATTGCGCCACTGCCCTCCAGCCAGGGCAACAGAGACCCTATCTCTGAAAAAAAAAAAACAACAACAAAAATTAAGAACTATCTTTTTAAATCCCTCCAGAGTTCTTGAGAGTTCCTATCTACCAATTTTCTAATGTTCAAACCTAACCTATCAGGAGAATGGAAAGAAGAATAGTGATTAGGAGGGAGAAACGGCAGCAGTGAGGTTTAGTATTTTTCTATTTTTTCTCATTTGTGGCGATCACAAAACATGTTCATTTTGTGATAATTCTTTGAGCAATACACTTATTTTGTGCATTTTCTGCATGTATGTCATATTTCAGTAACTTTTTTTCAAAGGAAAGATGCACCTTTCAACTTACTGTTTTACTTGGTGACTGCAGTTCGCACTCGTGGAGCTAACAATCATCTTCAGTTTTTCAGTTGCATAGTTTACAAACTGCTGTTTAAAGGCTCGCTCCTTGGCATGGGTGGTCCAGGACAGTCTTTCATACAGATACAAAGCTCCATACATAGTTAATGAAACAGATATGAGTTTCCAGCCTATAGTTTTCCAAATCTGTAAGATAAAGTCACAGGTTAGTCTGAGAAGGAAAAACACCATTTTGGAGAGCACATTTAAAAGCATTTTAGTTCCTTATGGATCTCTGAGTTAGATACATTTGTATATTCCTTCTCTATGAGAAAATCTGAAGTTACCAGAAATCAATCAGGCTTAAAAGGGATCAGCACACAAATAAGGGAGAGCTTAATAAGCTCCCAGATTTGATAAATTGATTCAATGTATCTCAACAATAAAACGACGTTAACTATTTTAGGTCAGATCTTTCAAAAACCAAAACAAGTATATCTATGCTGTTAATGATATAATTTTTTTTTAAAAAACAAATAACTACTACTAAAAATAATATTTAATACTTAAGATAGATCCCCTTGATATTCAGAGAAGGCTAGATAGGGCACTTGGGGTTTTCTTATTACCCCAATGTACAAATATTTCTTTGGGTGCTATGATGTGAAAATGCTCAGGAAGTATTAAAGACCAGCTAGATGGTGACAGTTCATTCCTAAAAATGTATGTTTTTTAAAAATTTAAGATGAGACTTGTGATATTTAATTCACTACCTTTAACCTGCAAATGTTCATACTATTTTACAGATCCTATAAACAGAAGTAAATACTATATACCTTTTCTTTTGTGAGCTAACAGGCAGCCTTGCAAACATTTCAATTTTAATTACACTAAAAGTAATGTTTCTTACCACTCCTCCAACAATAATGATACCCATAGAAGTTCTAGATGTAAGGGAAGCCAATCCTGTTACTAATGTAATCATGAGTTCTTCTTGTGATGCATTATCTGGTGTTGCTGGAGTGGTAGGAGCACTGGGAGTAGAAGCTAAAGATCTAGGGAGCTGCCAAAAAAAAAAAAGAAAAAGGAAAAAAAATTATTATACTTAAACAACTACAAATTAAAGTTACCTTTATAAAACTCTTTAAAATTATAATAGCAAATCTATGAGGGAAAAATTACTCTAAATGATGAGTATACAGCAAATATACATAGAAAATAAAAATAATTTGGAAATTCTTGTCTACAATATGGACCAAAGATATCATGAACAATAATAAATGTTCATAATATACAATGGGGTCTAAATGTAACAATAGGCCTTCAACTCTCAAGAGGAACAAATTGTGTTTTTAAAAAAACTAACAACAAAAGCACAATCCTTGAAACAAACAACAACAAAAAAAGATAAACCAAAAAAAAAAAAAAGGACTTCAAAATAAAAGCCTCTTAAACTTCAAAATGCACAGCAACAGACAAGAGAAATATATCTGGGGGTGGGCGCGGTGGCTTATGCCTGTAGTCCCAGCACTTTGGGAGGCCATGGCAGGAGGATAGCTTGAGATCAGAAATTTGAAACCGGCCTGCGCACCACAGTGAGGCCTTGTGTCTACATAAAATTGTTTTAAATTAGCTAGGTGTGGTGGCACATGCCTATGGTCCCAGCTCCTTGGAAGCAGGGGCTGCAAGTGAACTGTGATCATGCCATCATACTCCAGCCTGGGCAGAGCAAGTCCTTGTCTCAAAAAATAAAAAATCAAATAAAAATCATATTTGGAAATCATATATATGAGAAAGAACTTGATCTAGAATATGCAAAGAAACCCTGCAACTCTATAGGACTCAAATAATTTAAAAATAGGTAAAAGCTTTGAATAGACATTTCACAAAAGAAGATACACAAATGGCTAGTGAGCACACAAAAAGATGTTTAAAATCATTGGTCATCAGGGAAATGCAAATCAAACCTCCAATGAAATACTACTCTATACCCACTAGAACCTAAGTATATACTAAAGAGAAATGAAAACACATGCCCACATAAAAAACATGTAGATGAATATGTATAGCAGCATTATTCATAATAGCTAAAAAGTACAAACTACCCTAATGTCCACCAACTGATGAATGGATAGTGTTATATCTATAATGGAATATTCCTCAGCCATAATAAGAAATGAAGTATTAATACATCCTACAACACTGATACCATGATGACAAACCTTGAAAACATTATACTAAGTGAAAGAAACTAATCACACAAGGCCATATTTTATATGATTGCATTTATAGGAAATGTCCAGAAAGGGCAAATCCATAAACATAAGGCAGATTAGTGGTGAGGCTGCAGGTGGAAATCATAATTGACTACAAATGAGTAAAACGGCTTTGGGGTGACAAAAACTAAAACTCAATTGTAGTGATGGTTTTATAATTTCACAAATTTCCTTAAAAATTACTGAATTGATAAATTTTTAAAACTTTTTCTTTTAAAAAGTTTGTATTTATTCTAATTTATTTGAAATGTGAAAACCAAATCCTCTAAGAAAATATAAAAGTTTCAAAAATGAATGTAGCACCACCTGCAACAGTACTGGACGAAAGCTTTATGATAAGCTTTCCCTTAAGCATACTACAGGCTGAGTGTCCCCTATCCAAAATGCTTGGGACCAGAAGTGTTTCAGATTTCAGATTTTTTAGGATTTTTGAATATTTTCATAGATATTATAATGAGCTATCTTGAGGATGGGACCCAAGTCCAAACACAAAATTCATTTATGTTTCATATACCTTATATGCATAGCCTGAAAGTAATTTTATCCAATATTTAAATAATTTTGTGCATGAAACAAAGGTTGTATACATTGACTCATTAGAAAACACAGGTGTCACCATGTCAGCCACCCATGTGAACACTCTGTGGTTGTTTGGCATCACCATCATTCTTGACTGAATTTATATGCTACTGACAAGCAATCATTTTCTTACACCTATTCACACAAAGGAACTTAACAGTAAAAATATAAGACACACCATTAATAATAGTGAAAAATAATGTATTCAAACTAAGCAGCACAGAACACCTGTATCAGCTGTTAAACACCAACAATGGCAGGCTTTCAGTCTCTACCTACAATGCTATGTTTTGATTAAAAAGTTCCTGTACACAGTACTTTGTGAGGTGAGAAGAAACATCAGAAGCAGTTGGGGGACCAAGAAGTGGGTCCTCTAGTCATAATAAGACATTCTGCTGAATGGCCTTTTAAAATGTTTCCTGTAGTACCACCTACTTGCTTCTCTAACAATGGTTTTTGTTGAAGTCTCTCCCTGATTTTATAAACCTATTTCTTGTTCTGTTATGAATACATGCTGCTCTAGTGCTTCAAGAAGCCCATCACCATGCTGCCTATAGGCACTTGTTCTGCAGGGTCAACAACATCATCTTCATTATCACCATTATCATAATCACCTTGATTTAGAAGCATTTTAGCTCTTTTGTCATCAGTTAATGAATGAACAACTGAAGCCTCATTATCAACGTTAAACACTTCTTTGATATACCCTTCTTCCAGCTTACAGATGGACTCTAAAGATATTATTTTTTTGCATAAGGAGGTCAGACGTCATTTTTTTCTCTCTTGACATACTTCAAAGTCACCAACTTGCTCCTCATCATCAATAAATGTAGTGACAGGCAGAGGCTGCAGGCATACACAACTGAGTCACTGTCTTCCAAGTGCTGGCATATATGGCATCCTTCATCCTAAACTCCTTGTGCTGGCAACAGCATATATGGCAGCTTTCATTCTAAACTCCTTCTGAAAACCTTCCACACTCAGCCTCAGTTCACTGCTGCTAGCATGCTGCCCAAAAAAGGTTTTTGCATTTACTCCTCATTGATCTTAGAATACCCTGGTCACAAGGTTAAAATAATGAAACATTATTTTTTATGAGAATTTCAGCTAGAGGATGAGCAGAATAGTTGTCAAGGAGTAACAAAGTCTTGCAGTCATCATCTCGTCTAGCTTCCCTGCAAGTGCACACAAGCTGCTGGTATAAAATGTTTGTGAAACCAATCAGAAAAGATGTCCCTAGGGATCCATGCCTTTTTGTTCCCACAATAATGGACTAGTAAGAAATTCATTCCTTGAAAACAGTGAGGACGCAAGCTTTTGCCTATCACAGCAAGTTCACATTTATGCCTGCTGCATTAGCACATCCCAGCACAGTTATTCTGTTCTTTGCATCCTTAATTCTTGTAGGGGCTGTCTTCTCAGCTGTAGTCAGTGTCTTTTTGGGTCAATAATGGCAAAACAGTGATGTTTCGTCAGCATTACAGACTTGTTCTGGAGTTGATTTTCATCAGAGACAACTTGGCATATTCATCAATGAATTTCTCTGCTGTTTTTGTGATCAAGATGCTTTACCACCACAAACCTTTAAAAAAGTTAATGCTATCTTACCTTAAATTTCTCTAACCAGCCTATTGAATACTCACAGTTCCCTTTGATTTTCAGTTCATTTTAATAGATCTTTATTTCATAACCAGCATGTCCTTAAGTGGCATGTGTTCACTGAAACGCTGATGGGTCCACTCTTTCAATACATGATCAAGATCTTCGTATTTAACTTTCTGTAGTGTTTTGTTTTTTTTTTTTAATTAACTTCTGTCATCATTTTTAGCACAGAACTTCAATAGTTTAGGCCAAAAGAACAACTTTAGGAAAGTTGTTCTTTCTTTTAGGTCATATACAGTGTTCATTCCAACATCATTCTTCTGTAAGAAGTTGCTCACTTACATTGTTATCCAGTTTTTCCAACAGCTTAAATTTTTGTGCTATAAATAAAATAAATGCCTCTTCTTTTTCTTATCAATGTCACCCACGAGGGTATCTGTAGGCCTTTTAAACACTTTAAACTGGAAGCTGTGGCTCACGCCTGTATTCCCAACACATTGGGAGGCTGAGGCAGGTTGATCACTTCAGATCAGGAGTTTGAGATCAGTCTGGCCAACATGGTGAAACCCCATTTCTACTAAAAATACAAAAATTAGCCGGGCGTGTTGGTGGGTGCCTGTAATCCCAGCTGCTTGGGAGGCTGAGGCAGGAGAACAGGACGAATCCAGGAGGTGGAGGTTGCAGTGAGCCAAGATTGTGCCACTGCACTCCAGCCTGAGCCACAGAGCAAGCCTCCATCTCAAACACACCCCCACTCAAAAAAAAATCTTTTTTAAACAGTATCTTTACACCAGAGAAAAGAGAGTAAGTAAAGAAGCCCATAGTGGGTAATGCACAAAGGTCTTGGCCCCTTGTGGGGCATCATGGGGAACCTGCTGTTGGTGCATTGGGCCTGCACATGTGCCATTTTAGTACCCTTCATAGGTGTGCTTGTGTGGGGGAATTTGGGCATGTGTGGAAAAGATATATTGCAGTTAGAGGAGGCTGAGTCTTTCCCCTGAGGACACTGAATACAACTGTGTGTTGTGTGCCTGCCTTTTTACTATGACCTCACATGAGGTCTTGTGTGGAATTTTCCACTTGTGGTGTCACCATACTCAAAAGTTTTTGATTTTGGACCTTTAAGGATTTTCAGATTGGGGATGCTCAAACTAAATATCTACCTCAGAAATGGCTCTAAGAGACAGATATTAGCTTTTAAATATGCAGATTTTGTAAAGCTAGTTTTATTATAGAAAAATCACATAAACAAAATAATAAAGGAGAGTCTAAATTGGTAGATTCAAAGATACATACCTGAAAGATAGGCTCTGATAATCCTAGGAGCACCCTCTGAGCATTTCTAGGGCCCAAAAATCGATGTACAAGGGAAGACCAGCCCAGGGAAAAATGAAATACAATATCCTCTTGAAAATCAGAACATAACTTGTGGTAATTTAGATTATAACTGAGATCAAATTTCTGGCAAGGGATCAGTGTATGTAGTTTATCCTGTATACCAGCTGGAAGTAATGGCTTCAAATTTTCTAGAAAGAACAAAATTACAACACTTATTTTAAGAAAGAATGGTAAGTGTTTTACCTTCAATGGAACGCCTAAAGGAAAATAAGCTCTTTACCAGAGTCATGAATGAAAAAACAAACCAGACATGACCTTGTAGACATAAATATTACCAATAATTTCTTGCTGGGACTGAAGCATTAAGGCGTTTACTTCATCGGTGCATCGATCAGCCAAATTTCTTCCCATACCATCCTCTATGTGCTTATTTAATTCCTGTTAACAATGGTAAATATCCATATTATTTTTTCTCCAGAAAGCATGTAGTTTTTATAAAGACATAAAAAATGCAGTAAATGCCAAAATGGTCTTTTTAATTTAATTTAATTTTATTTATTTATTTTTTGTGTGTGTGAGACAGGGTCTTGCTTTGTTGCCCAGGCTGGAGTGCTTTGATCTTGACTCACTGTAGCCTTGACCTCCTGGGCTCAACTGATCCTCCTGCCTCAGACTCCTGAGTAACTGGGGCTATAGGAGCGTGTCGCCACGCTTGGCTATTTTTTTTTTAGATGGAGTTTTGCTCTTGTTGCCCAGGCTGGAGTGCAGTGGCGTGGTCTTGGCTCACTGCAACTTCTGCCTTCTGGTTTCAAGCAATTCTCCTGCCTCAGCCTCCCAAGTAGCTGGGATTACAGGCGCCTGCCACTGGCTAATTTTTTTTTTGTATTTTTAGTAGAGACAGGGTTTCACCATGTTGGTCAGGTTGGTCTCGAACTCCTGACCTCATTCATGGTCCATCCGCCTCAGTCTCCCAAAGTGCTGGGATTACAGGCATGAGCTACCGCCCAGCCTAACTTTGTTTTTTGTAGATTACAGTTCTCACTATGTTGCCCAGGCTGGTCTCGAACTCCAGGGCCCAAGTGATCCTCCCGCCTCGGCCTCCCAAAGTATTGAGATTACAGGCATGAGCCACTGTGCCTTGTCCTAAAATGATCTTTATCTCATTCTAAGTATAAATTTTCTATTTACTTTTTATACAAGATAGTTTACATTTATTACAAGAGGGCAATCTAACAGTTTCATTTTGTACTGATTGCCATGAAGACACTGAAATGCCAAACCATGAAATAAATTAGGGTATAGAATAATAAGAAACTGTCTCTGAATAATTTTATCTATACTTTAACTTACACTTTTATATATTTTTAATACATCTGGATTAGGATGAAACTCTGAACAAAATTCATCAACCAAAACAGACAGTCGACAAATTTCATCTGTCATTGCACATGAAACCTGAAAATATGAAAAATTCGGAGTTAAAATAATTAAACAAGATTATCAATTACTCAAAAAAATTAAGTTGAAAAATCTTAAAACATTCTTTTAAAGTAACAGGAATAACATTTTTAGTATTATCAAAAATAATTTCCACCCAGGTTATTTTAATCATGAAGCTACTGTTACCCACTTTGTTTGCCACCTCCTCGGTAACCTCCTTGATTTTTTTCTTAGCATCCAGTGTTAAAAGGTTCATCTGGTTTCGAATAAAGTCCAGTCTATCAATTTGGTCTTCCCTCTCTTCCACTGAATAATGCCTATTTCAGTAATAAAGAGTAATCAACGTTCAGGGTAGACTGAAGTCCTAAAGCATTTCAGCAAGGGACTCATTCATGTATTGAACCATCTATTAGCATGACCCAAGAAAAAAAAACTTGTAACATCTGAAAGGATTCAAGTAATATTTCACTTATAAAGTATTTTATATAGACCATTTGATAGAAACCATATTTCTCTGCCCATGTGGCACCTGAGACCCAGAAAGGATGAATAAGAATTCTAAGTCTTCAAACACTTCATAAATATGAACAGGCAAAACAGAATGCAGTACTAACTTTAGTTAATAAGCAGGGGTCAGCATATGGCACCTTACAAGCCAAATCTAGCCAGCTGCCAGCTTTTGTTAAAGTTTTCTTGAAAGCAGCCACATCCATTCATTTACCTATTATCTATCTATGGCTGCTTTTGCTCTAAAACTGTAGAAATGAGTAGCTCCAAGACACTTTATGGCCCATAAAGCCTAGAATATTTACTGTCTGGCTCTTTTTTTGAAAAAAAGTTTGTTCACCTCCGGCTGATACAGGAAAATAAAGGTCTGAGATCCATTTAAGAAGATCTTTTACTTAAGAAGTTCCCAGGACATTATGATTATACAATCCTCAAATCACATTTTTTTTGTGCTATACTTTGTTCAATGTCCTATGTCTTTAAAAATAATTACTAATTAAATCAATCTTATAGACCAAAATTTGGGTACTACATCAAAGCAACTGAGCTAGAAGAAAGTGCTATAGCAGCACAATCTCATTAAACAGAGGCTCTACACAGGGGCTGAGTTCAAACTCAGGGTTCTGATCCTTGCATTTTATATGCTGGCAGTTCTCTGCATTTGAACTTAATTCATTCCTAAGAAAGTACCATTATAAAGCAACACACAGGGACATGAGAGAGTCTTTGTTCCCAGCAAGAGCAAATACATTTAAAATTCCAATGTTATGACATCTTGGACTTAAGCTTTGATGCTTTTATGTTTCCTTCAACTGGCTTAAGTCCACTGAAGGTTCTATTGAGGCTTAACATCATTACTTTTGTCACATCTAGTAACATTCCATTCTGTGTTTCAAGCATACCAAGTTTGTGAGAATTATACTTTTTATCAATAATGCTGGTATTTTCATGTATTCATTGCCACCTTTACAAGGTAACAAATAGTATAAAATAATGCCATACAGTATAACATAAAGGGTACTGCTTACCGAATCAACTTTCTGGTTGGCAGGTAGCATCACCTTGTTTGTTCATCAGGCGATAAACAAACACAACTAGTATAAAATAGTGATTTCAAAATACCGATGTATGACTATATTAAAAAATGGGTTGTGGGTTGAATGCAAAAAGAAGATCACCTGTTTTGGAGTTCTTCATAAAAATCTGCTTGAAGAAATAGCCATAAAACATTTTAAAAATCACAATTCATATACAGGAATAGTGAGGTCCAGGGAATATAAATGATGTGTGCAAGGTTGCAGAATAAATATTGACACTTTCAAATATGCACTTAAAAAATACAAGTAGGCATCAGTTAAACCCACAAGGCTGATTTCACTGTAAAAAGTATTTATAGTACAACAATTTAAAACTTCAGTCTTAACAAAAGTCTGACCAAAAAAACTAACATTTTTATGTTGCAACGAAATGAACTCATACCTTTTCTCTTCAGCTGCCAGGTTTATTGAATCCATTATGTTTTTCACAGTAGCTAGTATCTGTTTAGCTCTGATAGTGTGCTGTTCAAACTTTGTTTTCACTGCTGACTGCGAGATACACTCCTGCGAGGGGCCCAAGCCATAACACATTACTGTAATTCCACCTCAACATTTTCAGGAATTTAAACACAAGAACTTGCTGTTTGTAACTTTAACCCAAACAGAAATAAAGATAGAAAATAAATGAGTGATAAAAGCACAACTTAAAATTACAAAGGTGAAAAAAATACAAAGACTCAAAAGTAAGAAGGGCTTTAGCAGCAAGTTACCATCTTTGTGTATTTTTACACAGTAATGTGCAATGGTTTGACTCGAACATTAAAAAAAAAAACAAAAAAACAGGGTACTATTTTCAATGTTAAAAAATTCTCTCATTAGAATTACTATTTTTTATCTGGATCACCTTTAATCCAATTCTAGTCCTTCTATCTAGATTCCTCTCATACTTGAAATAGATATAACCTAGTAAAGTTCTTAAATAAGATGTGAATTAGAACAATTCCTTATTTAAAAGCTGAATGATACAATGATTCCTGTAAGTTCGATAAAAAAGACTTCTCTGGATTAAAATGTGAAGAATCTGAAAGCTAACATTTAACAATGTAACATCTAAAATTGTTTATAGAAAAAATATCTGCAGCTATTTAGAAGATAATTGTAATTACTTTCATTAGAATATAGTATGTACACAAAGGCCTGAATCATGCCCTATCTCATTTGTTTTACCTTCAAGCTAACAACCCATTAATAGTTGTTATAAATCAGTGTTTTATAACCAGTATTTATTTAAATAAAAAATAAATCACAATGCATCACATGTATCGATGGATACATTTTGCAACATTTTTGTTTCAATTTTTTTTTTTTTTTTGAGGCGGAGTCACTCTGTTCCCAGGCTGGAGTGCAGTGGCCCAATCTCAGCTCACTGCAAGCTCCGCCTCCCGGTTTCACGCCATTCTCCTGCCTCAGCCTCCCGAGTAGCTGGGACTACAGGCGCCCGCCACCACACCCGGCTAATGTTTTGTATTTTTAGTACAGGTGGGGTTTCACTGTGTTGTCATGATGGTCTTGATCTCCTGACCTTGTGATCCGCCCGCCTCGGCCTCCCAAAGTGTTGGAATTACAGGCGTGAGCCTCCGCGCCTGGCCTTCAATTTTCAATATATAGAATACTTGTTATCTAAGAAATACATATAAAAATTTATATATATATATAAAGAAATATATATATATATATATTTTTTGACAGTCTTGCACTGTCATCAAGGCTGGAGTGCAACGACATGATCTTGGCTCACTGAAACCTCCACCACCCAGGTTTAAGTGATTCTCCTGCTTTAGCCTCCCAAGTAGCTGCAATTACAGGCATGTACCACCATGCCTGGCTACTTTTTGCATTTTTAGTAGAGACAGGGTTTTGCAATGTTGGCCAAACCGGTCTGCAACTCCTGACCTCAAGTCATCTGCCTGCCTCAGTCTCCCAAAGTGCTGCGATTACAACAGTGAGCCACCATGCTCATCCTATAAATATATATTTACTATGATTTATCATTTAAAGTTTATAAAATTGTTATATTACAATTTGTCTTTCATTTTTTCTTCATGGAAAGTCAAATTCTGCACTGAAATACAGCACAGTAACTACTATAGATGTTTTACAAGAGACTTATTTTCTATGATAATTTTTTTTTAAATTAAGGATATATTAATTCTCTGATACTCCAATGAATTCATCTTCTTGAACCTCTATATATTTAGCTAATACAAATCGTGGTAATTGCTTCCTGAAGTTCATTACTATCCTTCGTTAAAACAAATGGCTTTTAAGCTTCAAAAGGCATTTACTTAATACTCTAGTACTACATTTGTTATCCTGAAATCATCAGGATGCTACATGTGTATTCAGTGTCCTATTTATGACCTATGCTTAGCCTTCATGTCTATGAAATTATTCGAGCATTCAGAAAGACTACAATCTCCTTTGCCATTTTAGCTCCCCACTTCAGCATTTTGTTTGAGGTAGAGAAAACAAAACAGATTATTTAGCTATAGAGCACATGAGGGTAATTCATTTAGTCAATATTTAACTCTGAAGCCATTACTTTCTTGCATTGCCTAGCTTAATTTTTGCCCATGGTGAAGCTCATTTATGCATTAGTCATTTTCACTGATTTTGAAAAGATTAATGTAGGAAGTTATAGTATTCCTGTTCTGTACACACCTAAAGATAAAACATTCCTGGATGTTTTCCTTTTTTTTCCTTTTGTTTTTTTTTTCTGGATGTTTTCTTCTTTAAAATCAACAATAATTATATAATAATGAACATTTGTAAACTACTTATTTTTTAATAATTAAAAGAATGCATTGATTTTATTTTAAATAAACGCCTCGTAAATGTGTCAAATTAACTTCCGCAAAAATTATAATAAAAACAAAAATATTTTTAAAGGAAAAATATTAAAATAAAGTCAATATTCCTCGATGAAGCAGATCTAGATATCAGCAATGAAGATCCAAATTTGTAGATAACAGCACAGTGTTAGAGCTAGACGAGACAGAAAAGATCTCCAAAAGTTATTAGGCAATATAAGTTTCTTTCTGATTCAAAAAGATATAATGATGAGTAAGCATAGAGAAGAAAATAATCAATCTTCTAATTAAAAAGTATCCCACAGTGGTGCTCCCACTGATCTGTAGGATATTTAAGAGATACTTTGAAAAAAGAACATTCTACTCCAAATAAGTATGGGTAGTGTTAATTTAAATAAAGTCCCCCTTCTAAGTTATTTCTCAGCATCCTTAATACACTAATATGCTAATTAATCTCTATGGGGAACATATATACTACGCAGCAGTTCCCAGACTTATTTTATCAGGAACTCTAATCATACATTAATATTAATTTATATGTGTAATTAAAACATAAAACCAACAAACTTTTCAATTTCCCTTGAAAATAGACCCTACAAACACCTAACAACATGCTATTCATCACTGCCAACTTATTTTGGTGTATTTTCAACAGAAAAGTGCAAGAACTATACCTTTCATCTAGATATATCAAATACTAACATTCAGCCCCTTTTGTTTACTTCTCCTCTCCCTCCATACACATGCTCCACACTTTCTATCTTGTGTGAGGGCATATATATATATGTAATATTTATATATTATATATAACAAATATAATCTTGCAATATATATATAAAATGTATGCCTCCATATATATAAAGAGAGGCATACATTTTTATATATACTTATGTATTATTTTCCTTCCTAAACATTTTGACAGGTCATTACTGCATCACAAGCTTATTACTAAATACATCAACACTTGTCTTCTAAGAAAGAAAACATTTATTTGCACAATCACGAAACAACTGTATTCAGAATATTTACCATTGAGACAATACTATTATCTAACAAACAGTTCATGTTCAAATTTCACCTATTATCCAGGAATGCCCATTACAAAAAATCCACTGACATTTTAAATAAGTTATTTTTATATGTCTATCTCCCATCATACAACCAAAACTAGTAAGAATTAATGGTGAAATAACTGTGCAAAAGAAATTTGGATTTCTAACTTGCCTTTAGAACAACGCAGTCCAAATGCATTTTGAAACTTTCCAAATACAGTTTTAAAACAATAAGAAAATGTATTAATAGACTAACACTGATTTTCCTTTCAAAAAAGAAAAGAGACAGAGTCTCACTCTGTCACACAGGTTGGAGCACAGTGGTACCTCCATAGCTCACCATCACCACAGACTCAAACTCCTTGGCCTCCTACCTCAGCCTCTGGGGTAGCTGTGACTATAGTCATGAGCTATCATACCTGACTTTTTTTTTTTCTCCTGGTAGAGATACGATTTAGTCTTTTCATGTTTTTGCCCAACCTGATCTCGATCTCCTTAGCTCAAGCAATCTTCCTGCTTTGGCCTCCCAAAGTACTGGCATCACTGGCATGAGCCACCAACGCCCAAGCTAATATTGATTTTCTTGATTGCTTTTACTCAATTTAATTTTCAAGCCTTGTTTAACTTAGTATTCTAAATGTTTAAAATACTTAGATCCACTTGAATCAAATGAATCTAAAGAAGTCCATGGCAAAGGTCAGATTGATAAAGGTGATGAACTTGACAGTTTTTCTTTTCACAAAAAATCTTGCAAGACTACAAAGAAAAGTAAGCAAATCCCCAAAACAAAGAGAAATGTGTGTAAAAGCCACAAGATGTGACCACAACACAAAGAAACCAAGAAATTAGTAACCAAAAATTGGATAAAATGAACCACAACACTTGAATTTTTAAAAATCTTATATTGATAAGGAAATGCCAAAAGGATAATTAGAAACAAAATCGACAAAAACTAAACTAGCACTGAAAACCTTGGGATACGCCCAAAGTTACAGTCACAAATTCACAATCCTGAATCTTTTCTTCAAGAACAATAAGCAAAAAACCAATGCATCTTCAAAGTAAACAATGTTAAAGATGAACACAGGCCAGGCACGGTGCTCATGCCTGTAATCCCAGCACTTTGGGAGGCCAAGGCGGGCAGATCACAAGGTCAGGAGATCGAGACCATCCTGGCCAACATGGTGAAACCCCGTCTCTACCAAAAATACAAAAATTAGCCAGGTGTGGTTGCGCGCCCCTGTAGTCCCAGCTACTAGGGAAGCTGAGGCAGAAGAGTCCCTTGAACCCAGGAGCTGGAGGTTGCAGTGAGCCGAGATCATGCCACTGCACTCCAGCCTGGCGACAGAGTGAGACTCTGTCTCAAAAAAAAACAAAAAACAAAACAAACAAACAAAAAAAACACAGAACTTAGTGAATGAACCCCCAAAAATGATATTTATTAAGTGATAAATTACATAAGAGCTGGGGCTGCGTCTTTGGATGATAAAACATTGGCAAACTCATTAAGGGTCTGTGTGTGTGTGTATATGTATATGTAGATATACATTCATATTTAAATATAGACATGAGAAACAAGAGACTCAAACAATTTTATGCTACTAAATTATAAAATTTCAGAAATATACCAATTTCTAAGAAACCAGGAATTACCAAAACTGATTTAAGAAGTAACAAATACCAGTCTTGGACTAAAGCTGACTAAAACTTTCAACATAATTAATCACCAAAAAATATTTTGTCTCTTTTCAATACATTTAGACATAATATTTTTTGCCCAGCTGATTATGTTTAGATAAATTCAAGTAATTTTTACTGATTCTCATTTTAGATATTTCAGACTTAAAATTTTCAAATTCTAAAGCTGCACATTCCATGACTTTATGTAAAAAAAAAAAAAAAAAAAAGCTACTGCTCAAAAGCAATTTTTTCCATACATAAATTTTAGAATCCCAAATGGACCATCAGAATAAAACACAAACTGCCAAGTTTCCTCTACAAACATTTAAAAAGAATAGTTCCTAAGTCTGTCTGATTATTGCAATCATTTGGGGAGCTTTGAATATGTATGTATATAGATTGCTAGACCAACTCCAACCCCCTGGATCTGGGGTTGGGGATATGATAGGTTGGGAGCCTGCGGTTCTGTAAAGCACATCATGTGATTCTGATGACCAGCCAGGCTTGTGAACCAATGCCCGACAGCATATCTTTTATTCTTCTCATTCCCACCTCCTCAAGGAGATATTCTGGGGAAGCACAAGCTATACCATGAAGCAATATGGAAGCAATATAAATGTGTAACAGAACATTACACAATTATACACTCTATAAATGTATAATTTAGAAGAAATCAATGATAAACATACATAAAACACATATATACAAAAGTCAATAAATAAGGAAAGACAAGGAAACAGATCCTCTCCCTACATATTTTCCCCATGGATGAAATACTGATAACAGTGAGGAGAGGAGGCTGAGGTGGGAGGATCATTTGAGCCCAGGAGTTCGAGGCTGCAATGAGCTATGATTGCCCAACTGCACCCCAGCCTGGGTAACAGAGGGAGATCCCATTTCTTTAAGATAAAAAAAACGGTGAGGAGAGCATCAACCCTTTGATGAAAGCAAAAGGAAAAGGAAAAAAACAAGCAATGGTCTTTGAGTAACTGGGACTTCACGTATCCTATAGCTTGGCTTGAGAGGACATCTACCCATAATCCAGTAGCCTCGGAACAATTAGATCTTACCGAGATAGCTGGCAGTGGATTTGCTTTCTTCCAGTTTGTCTTCATCTAATAACCTTTTTTCTCTCACCAAATTAAAGATGAGAGATAGTAAGCAAAATGTTTATTTTAAAAATCCTGCCAAGTATACTCAACATTCATGTCCCCCCTATTAAGACAGTTACTACTTATAAGAATAATTACAGATTGAGGTTTCTTCAATGCTGAAGTCATTGTGTTCATTCCTAAGTGGGAAGGTGATATGAATTATATAGGGCAAAACAGGAGTTCAGAAGGTTAACATCTAAAGAACTATTCAGTCAAATGTAGGGTGAGTTTTAATGTCTCTGAATAAAAACACTTATACTGCAACATAAGAAACTAGCCTCCCTCCCTGTCTACCACTCAGGCACTTCAGTAGTTTCCTAGAAGATTCTGAAAACAGTGAAGCTCTTTTTTACTCAATTATTCATTTAGAGTGTTTGGCACAACATATGGAGAATGGACATGTGGTAACACAGTATATAAATATAATAAAATTTTGTCAAATGGCATTAATCATGTTTTGTATACTTCTATTAGTCATGCGGCACAAAGAAAAAAAGGATAATGCTTACTTTGCTCTATTATCCATTCCAACAGCAATTACGCTTGTTTGCTCTTGTTCCAAATTATTGAATACAGGGAATTTCATTCATTGCACAACACAGCAATACTGAAACACAGTTTCTTATTTATATATAAATACATAAAAAATAAGAATAAGGAAGAAATTACAATCGCTAATTCTCAATTCTTACAAATCATTTTGCAGGGGGTTCCTTTCTTCAGACTTTCCACATTTTACTGGCTATGTCAGTAACTAAACTAAATAACAGCAAAAGTTATTGACAAAGACAAATGATAAAACAGAAGATTATGCTTTCTCCAACCAAGGAAAGAGTTTTGTATTAGGCAATACAATAACAAAATTCCTACCTCAAAGATTTGTTCAAAATTCTGAAATTCCTGTAATCTTGCCTGAAATCCTTCAGCAAGTGCTCCACCTGTAATGTACAGGCAAAGATTTAAAAACCTAGTATATAGCAAGGTGGTATTTTCTTGGTAGGCTACTGATTTTATAATTTATATTATAATAATATAGGTATATACCGATTCCTTTATATATATATATATATAAATATATATCTAAATATCTTTCCACCCCCCCCACAACCCGAGACAGAGTCCTTGCTCTTTGCCCAGAGCCTGGAGTGGCAATGGCGCAATTGTTGGCTCACTGCAATCTCCGCCTCCTGGGTTCAAGCAATTTTCCGCCTCAGCCTCCCCAGTAGCTTGGATTACAGGTGCACGCACTATGCTGGGCTAATTTTTGTATTTTTAGTAGAGACGGGGTTTCACCATGTTGGCCAGGCTGGTCTCGAACTCCTGACCTCATGATCCGCCCATCCCAGCCTTCCAAAGTGCTGGGATTACAGGCGTGAGCCACTGCACCCGACCAATTTTAAATATTTTTATATTTAAAAAGGAAATCTATAACTAATGCATACCGCTTTCTGGCATCCCCTGTGCTTTTTGCTTTCTAGCACTAAGAACTTCCTTTGCTGAAACAAAGAAGATACGATTCTGTGCTTCTAAAGCATTTACAACTTTGAGCTCCTCCACCAAGAAATGCAGGCATCTTTCCATGTGCTGTCTGCGTACCTACAGAGAAAAGGGTATTAAAAGAATTCTAATAATTTAAACAAATATAATAACCAATGACTACAGGCCAATACTTTTATTTACAGTGATATAACAAAAGTTACCATATAACTAATGAATTCAAAAAATTCTAATAAATGAAGTTTGGTACTTAATGACAGAAAATCTTTCTCTTAACGATTCTGTCTTTTGAACATTTATTTAAAATTCTGCTGGGCACAGTGGCTCACGCCTGTAATCCCAGCACTTTGGGAGGCTGAGGCGGGCAGATCACAAGGTCAGGAGTTTGAGACCAGCCTGGCCAACATGGTGAAACTCCGTCTCTACTAAAAACACAAAAATTAGCGGGGTGTGGTGGCAGGCGCCTGTAATCCCAGCTACTGGGCAGGCTGAGGCAGGAGAATCGCTTGAGGCCGGGAGGTGGAGGTTGCAGTGAGCCAAGATCGTGCCCCTGTACTCCAGCCTGGGTGACAGAGCAAGACTCCATCTCAAAAACCAAAACAAAACAAACAAACCCTGCTAAGGTTGGGGCGAATGCATTAACCAGGCATTAGAATTGCAATGTTGGGTTCAAGATTACCACTTGGGCACACTGAGGTGAAGATTACGGGTTAGAAGTTAGGATTTAGTACTAGTCTTCAGCATTATGGCTATGATAAGGGTTCTCTATATTAAGACTTGCAAAAATAAATCTAAATAGGAATGCTGAAATATTTGAGGAAAAATAATTTATGAGTGATACTTCCTAATTCTCCAATGATTATGTGAGCCCCAATTTGAAAGAACATGGCTGTAACACAACAGTTAATGACAGGAGGATATAAAACATGATGTTATGCAAAATTCCAATGGTGGAAAAATGAAAGCAAATAATTTAACATGTGAACAGTGATGGGATAGTTTATTTTTATCTTGTCCTCTACATATAATAATTTCATACTACCATTAAAATCAGAAATCGTCTCAAGCAAATTAAATAAATATTATTTATAGTCCAAATTCCAGATACTTTAATCTTTTTAAGTTTCTACAATTGGTGTGACTAAAATGCCAAAAAAAAAAAGTTGAGGATGCAAATCTTATGAAACTCAATCTGCTGGCAAGAGTACAAATTGACACCAAGCACTTTGGAGAACTCTGGTGCTATGTTTACTAAAATCTAACATATTCTTAACTTGTAATCTAGCAATTTTACCTCTAGGTACATATACCCATGGTTTACTGACCTCTGCATTACTGACATTTTGGATTGGCCAATGTTTGTTTGGGGGCCCGTTCTGTGTCAGGGCATGTGTAACAGCATCTCTAACCTCTACTCATTAGATGCCATTAGCACAAAACCCCAGTTGTGACAAAAAAAAAAAAAAAATATCTTCAGATGCTGCCAAATATCCCATGGGGGTCAAAACTGTCCAACCTCCACATTGAAAACTACCTAACAAGAATGCATATATATGCACACCAGAAGGACATATACAAGCATATGCACAGTAGCATTCATAACTAAATATAGTAAATTAACCCAAATGCCCATCGCCGTGAATAAGTCAACTGTAGTATAGTCACAGATGGAATACTATACAGCAATGAGAATGCAATACAACTATGCTATGCACAATATGGACACATATGACAAACATGTTAAACGAAAAAAACAGATGCAAAAGCAGATATTATATGATTCTGTTATATAAAGTTGAACAGGCAGAAAAATTAATTTAGGGGGTCAAAAGTCATGATAAATGGATAATTTCTCTTTGGTAAGGAGGACAGAATGGAAGTTGGAAGGAGGGAGGTAAGCGAGAGGTGCTGGGGTGTTCAGAATGGTCTGCTTTTTGATCTGGATTTTGACACAGGTGTGTTAAATTTGTAAAATTTGGCCAGGCATTTTGGCTCACACCTGTCATGCCAGCACTTTAGGAAGCCAAATTGGAAGGATCACTTATGATTTATGTACTTTTCTGTTATGTACATTTCAATAAAAACTTAAACAAAAAAGAAGTTTCAAGCTTTGAAATAACTAGATAGTATAACACAATTTTCCCTCAAAGTAACTTCATACCTCGGTCTTTATCACATACCTACTTCAGGTTTTCTCTAACTATATTCTTTTCATGGAATAGCTCTTATAATTTTCTATTATATAAGCTATATTGTTTTCTCAAATAACAATATATGTGACTGTACTTCAAAACCCACAAAAAATAAATAAAATAACTTACGTCTTCCATATATTCCGGCTCTGATGCAGAGGCATCCCAACGATTATTGAGAATGAAAATATTAGGCTTGGAAAGCCGCTCATTCACTTTGTGAAAAAAATGTTTTTCCTGAAAAAAAAAAAAAAAAAAAACAAAACTCACAGTACATTCACTGTAATTTACATTTACAATTGAAATTTTATTTTAATGAGAAAGTCTGAACCATTTAGACAACATTAACACCACTGACAAAGGATCCCAAAGCACTCTATGAGCATTAAACTTTCAAAGATGAAGAAAACTGATGAATAACAATTTTTAAAAATCATGTTATAGTTTTGAATATTAGATTATCTCAACTCTGGAAAGTTTATTTCAGATGAGTCTGGCTCCAGACATTTGGATAAATAATCTTCTAAGTCTGACAGCAGCTTAAATTGTACACAGGTAAGGTGAAACCTAGAGTATATTCAGGTGAAGCTGGAAACAGCTAACAATACTGAAAATATAAAAAGGCTTGCCCCATAGATGGCAGAAAGGAGGAGTGGTTTATATTTTATTCAAGAGACTTAAGTAAGCATCCTAAAATTTCTGGCACTCATTCTCCCTGAGACTGGCAAATAACCATAAGCTAGAGTCATCAAGCCCTATATTGCTAGAGAAATCCAGGGAACTACACACTATAGAAAGACTAGAAACAGCCCTTCTGGTTCTATGAAAACACAAACCCTTCATTCATGCCTGTTTTTAGAAGTTCTTTCTAATCCATGATTTGGATTTCTCTTTTCAGAATGAAAACAGACACTGCTTCATTCCCTACCACCGAAACACAATAATACGATTAAATCCTACCGTATTCATTAGTGTAGATTCAGAGTTTGCAACCAAAACGAAGACATCAGCATCGAGGCAAAACTTATCAATCCAGCTATCCAGCTCTGTAGTAACATCTGTGCCTGGACTAATGAGAGTGAAATAAAAATTGTATTATATTTCTTAAAAAGAAAATTTGGGTTACAGAATTTTTTCAGCTTTTATGTATAATTTGAAGTCTAAAAAACAGGATTTCCACCTGTCATCTATAAGCAGCCTAGGAAATTTTAACCCAGTGATCTTTCACAAAGCAAATAACATGCTCAATATTTCAATCTTTTTAATCTTTATGCTTTAGATGGCTGAAATATAAAACTAGGCTAATGGATACTAAACAACAAGGGTTAAAGCAGCTATATCCAGTAAGGCTCAGAGAAGATTTAAGCCCTTATAAACACAAATAAAAACATATAAATTTAATATACCAACTACACTAGGACCTGCAGTGAAGAATTTGCCAACTACAAATCTTTGTAAAAAATTTAAAAATTTTTTCATTTTAAATGTTTGTGGGTACATATTAAGTATACATATTTATGAGGTATATGAAGTATTTTGATGGAAGCATACAATGTGTAATAATCACATAGGGGCTGAGCGCAGTGGCATATTCATGTAATCCTAGCATTTTGGGATTCCAAGGCACGAGTGCTTGAGTCCAGGACATTGACACCAGCCTGAGCAACATGACAAAACCCTGACTCCACACACACAAAAAAAAACCACAAAAAATTAGCTAGGCTTGGCGGCATGCCCCTGTAGCCCCTGCTACTCTGGAGGCTGAGGTGGGAGGATTGCTTAAGCCTGGGAAGCGGTGGTTGCAGTAAGCCATGATTCCATCACTGCACTCCAGACTGGGCAACACAGCAAGACCCTGCCTCCAAAAAAAAAAAAATCACATCATGGTAAATGAGGTATCTATCAACTCAAGCATTTATTCTTTGTATTATAAACAATCCAATTATATTATTTTAGTTATTTTTAAATGTACAATTAAATTGTTATTCAGCCAGGTATGGCAGCTCACACCTATAATTTCAGCACTTTGGGAGGCTGAGATGGGAGGATTGCTTGAGGCCAGGAGTTTGAGACCAGCTTGGCCAACATGGTGAATTCCCACCTCTACCAAAAAATACAAAAATTAGCCAGGCATGGTGGCTACTCGGGAGGCTGAGGCACAAGAATGGCTTGAACCTGGGAGGCGGAGGTTGCAGTGAGCCAACACTGTGCCACTGTACTCAAGCTTAGGTGACAGAGTGAGACTCTATCTCAAAAAAATAGAAATAAAAATCAATTATTATTCACTATAGTTACCCATTTTGGTACCAAATACTAGATCTCTTTCATTTTTTCTTGTATCTATCCAACTTTCAATCTTAACTGACTGGGTCATAGATACAACCTGGTTATGAAATAAAGCTAAATTAGTTAACATTGTATTTAAACCAAATATTTTGGTGTCATGAACATCTTCTCTCTCTACTGTTTCTATGGATTACTTGAAACACTCATTTCCACTTAAAAGGAAAATTCATTATCAAAAACAAAATGGAGCCACGTGAGGTGGCTGGTGTGTGACTGTAATCCCAGCTACCCAGGAGACTGAGGTGGGAGAATTGCTTGTGCCCAGCAGGTGAAGGCTGCAGTGAGCCAAGATCATGGCACTACGGCACTGCACTCCAGCCAAAAAAAGTGGCCATCCTTAAAATTTCTTGAAATGGAATAAGACTGATGAACTGGTGCTTTTATGTAACTTATAAAATAAAACCAATACCTTATCTCTTCCTTAATCTAGCTAATGAGAACAAAGTGGCAACTGAATGTTTTAATTTTTTATACCACATGCTAAAGTAAGCAGTATTATACTATTAAATAAACTTCCAGAGAAAATGCAATCCACATGTAATTTTACCTGTCTACCAACACCAGGTCATCTCTCAAGAGGGCACATTTTGCTTTTGGCCAAAACACACGTACAAGACAGCCAGCTTTCAAATCTTTGTCCATGTGAAGGGCATGGGCCAGTTGATTAACTGTCTAAAGCAGGAGGAAAAGAAAAAAATAAACTCCACTTGTAATAAAATTCAATAAAAATTAACAACATTGTAGTACATTTATTTTAGCCAAATAGGTGTATAAAAACTCTGAAATAAAACCTTCTGAGCAATCTTGAGAACCTGAATTTTTAAATTTCCAAGTACGAAAAAAAATGGTTCCCTCAAAAAGAACTCCAGCAACAGAATTCTAAGCAACTCCTGATACTGATACTGGTTTTGTGAAGTATATATGTTATGGAGTCTTCATTCTTTTTGCCTACTTGTATTTTCTGACTACTGAAATAAATGTGTATCACTTTGTCATATGGAAAAAATGTCATTATTAAAATAGATTAAAATTAAATAGCTTTTAACACCCCCTAGAAAGGAATGAAATCATGTCTTTTGCAGGAACATGGATGGAGCCACAGGCCATTATCCTAGGTCAATCAACGCAGAAACAGAAAACCAAATACTGCCATCTTCTCGCTTAAAAGTGAGAGCTAGGCCAGGAGCAGTGGTTCATGCCAGTAATCCCAGCACTTTGGGAGGCCGAGGTGGGTGGATCACCTGAGGTCAGGAGTTTGAGACCAGCCTGGACAACCTCGTGAAACCCTGTCTCTACTAAAAACACAAAAATTAGCCGGGCGTGGTGGCGTGTGCCTATAATTTCAGCTACTCGAGAGGCGGAGACAGGAGAATTGCTTGAACCCAGGAGGTAGAGGTTGCAGTGAGCTGAGATCACACAACAGAGCGAGACTCTGTCTCAAAACAAACAAACAAACAAACAAAAAAGTGAGAGCTAAACATCTGGGTACACACAGAAATAAACATGGGAACAATAACACTGGGAACTACTACAGGGGTAAAGGTGGAAGGTGACAAGAGCTGAAAAACTACTGAATGCTACATTCACTATTTGGGTGACAGGTTCAGTTGAAGGCCAGTCTTATGCATCACACAATATATCCACATAATAAACCTGTACACATAGGCTGGGCGCAGTGGCTCAAGCCTGTAATCCCAGCACTTTGGGAGGCCGAGACGGGCAGATCACGAGGTCAGGAGATCCAGACCATCCTGGTTAACACGGTGAAACCCCGTCTCTACTAAAAAATACAAAAAACTAGCCGGGCGAGGTGGCGGACACCTGTAGTCCCAGATACTCGGGAGGCTGAGGCAGGAGAATGGCGTAAACCCGGGAGGCGGAGCTTGCAGTGAGCTGAGATCTGGCCACTGCACTCCAGCCTGGGCGACAGAGCGAGACTCCGTCTCAAAAAATAAATAAATAAATACATAAATAAAAATAAACCTGTACACGTAACCCCCAAATCTAAAATGACGAGGAGAAAAAGAGTGTGAAGAGGACTGGAAGAGCACAGATCAGGAAAATGAGAGATGATTTCTTTAGAGTAACACAGCATACTTTGAGGCTCTAAAGTCATCAGAAGTTTGAATTTTGATTTGCTAAAAATCTTAATTACAAAATAATAGTGATTCCTTCATTTATATGAATTAAAAGCTTGATTAGTATTTTCTTTTCTTTTTGAGACAGTGTCTTGCTCCATTTCCTAGGCTGAATGATCACAGCTCACTACAGCCTCAGCCTCCCAGATTCAACCAATCCTCCCACCTCAGCCATTCGGGTAGCTGAGACTACAGGTATGCGCCACCATGCTTGGCTAATTTTTGTATTTTCTGTAGAGATGGGGTCTCACTATATTGCTGAGGCTGGTCTCAAGCAATCCGACCACCTCAAGTGCTAGGATTGCAAGCGTGAGCCACTGTGCCCAGCCTTGAATAGTATTTTCATAAACATCTCACTTTTCTAGTAACTAATCTGAAGGGTATGCTTATTCTAAAACTTACAGATTGAGTCACCTGATTTACATCAAAGAGCAAATTCACAGAGCAAGAACCATCCATGACTTTACCAAGAAATGAAATAGCATGGATCTTCAAGCACTGAACTTTTTTGTTTGTGGAAGAGATCCTTAGACTCAAGACAAAGTGACTGCAATAAGAAACAGTGCCTTAACTAACTGCTTTCAGTCCAGAGTCAACATCTTGCATTCTAATTTGTTTTTCCTTTTATTCTTTTTTTGGCTGCAGGAGTCTAGTGGCACTAAATTGAGAAATTTATGAAAGGCAGGGAATTGCCATTGGCTCTCATCTGACAAAGTTAAAATCTTTATTCATGAATATACTTACTACATACTCCTGAGGTAAGACAGTTTCTAAAAACACAGACACATATCAAAAACAGATTCCAGGGCCCAATTTCTTAAGCAATTCTGTTTTAAAAAGACAAATCTGAGGCCAGGCATGGTGGCACATGCCAGTAACCACAGCACTTTGGGAGGCCAAGGTGGGACAAATTTGAGATTAAACAGTAATGATACACTTCAATAATGTCAGTCTCGGTCGGGCGTGGCAGCTCACGCCTGTAATCCCAGCACTTTGGGAAGCCAAGGCAGGTGGATCACCCGAGGTCAGGAGTTCAAGACCAGCCTGGGCAACATGGTGAAACCCTGTCTCTACTGAAAATACAAAAATTAGCCAGGTATGGTGGCGCATGCCTGTAATCCCAGCTACTTGGGAGGCTGAGGCAGGATAATTGCTTGAGCCTGGGAAGCAGAAGTTGCTAGCTGAGATTGTGCCATTGCGCTCCAGCCGGGGCAACAGAGCAAGACCCCGTCTAAAAACAAATAAATAAATAAAATAATGTTAGTCTCACTGTAAGGGGAGATTTAAAAAACCTGTAATTCTAATATACCTTTAAATTAAGGACAGGTTTTATTCTTCCACTAATTTAGCTATGAAGTAAAAAAAAAATTTAGAGTACTTAAAATATTTAGTGATGGCTTTCAAAGTTACAAATATTAAGTTCTTCCTATAATCCTAGCACTTTGTGAGACTGAGGCAGATGGATCACCCGATGTCAGGAGTTCGAGACCAGCCTGGCTAACACGGTGAAACCCCATCTCTATCAAAAAAAAAAAAAAAAAAAAAAGGACAAAAATTAGCTGGGCATGGTGGCATGCACCTGTAATCCTAGCTACTTGGGAGGTTGAGGCAGGAGAATCATTTGAACCTGGGAGGCAGAGGTTGCAATGAGCCAAGATTGCACCATTGCACTCTATCCTGGGCGACAGAGCAAGCCTCACTCTCAAAAAAAAAAAAGAAAGAAATATTAACAGTTCTTTTAATAAGATGTCAGCAATGCAGACATCTATAAAAATGTTATTAAAGAATAAGTTAAGGACATTGTTTCAGGTATATTATGCTGCTAAAGGTTAAAGATCATACCTTCACACTTTTTTTTTCATCTGATCCTTCTGTCATAAGATAGGCTTTATCTCCATCAGTTCCTTCAACACTTAGGAAGCAATTGGTTATATGGCCAATCCCACTAGGGAGAACTTTATCCCACAGCATTGCATTGATAACAGAGCTCTTCCCACTGCTTGTCCTGAAGAATATACAAAATCATGAAAAACAAAACATAACAGTAAAAAAATTAGTTCTTTCACTGGGTCTAATATCAACTTTTTTAAAATCCAAATTTTGTTAAGATTTCTTAAGACTGCATTTTTACAAAAAAACTGACCACTTGGCTTACACAAATATCAGCAATGTACATTTCAGAAAAAATAAAGTGTAAGAAAACAAATCCGACCTTTCTCATAATATTATCCTCAACTTTTCTTTCTTGCTTTTTGTGGCAATTTGAAATCACAGGTCAAAATTCTGTAACACTACTATCACATGATGGGGTCTAATATCCCATCTCCTTAAATCTGGGCTGGTTTGTGACTGCTTCAACAAATAATGCACATCAGAAGTGACACTGGGTGGCTAGGTGCAGTGGCTCACGCCTGTAATCCTGGCACTTTGGGAAGCCAAGGTGGGTGCAACACTTGAGGTCAGGAGTTTGAGATCAGCCTGACCAACATGGTGAAACTCCATCTCTACAAAAAATTAGCCAGGTGTGGGGGGTTGGGGGGGGGGGGACCTGTAATCCCAGCTACTCAGGAGGCTGAGGCAGGAGAATCACTTGAACCCAGGAGGTGGAGGTTGCAGTGAGCCAAGATCGTGCCACTGCACTCCAGCCTGGGTGACAGAGCCAGACTGCGTCTCAAAATTAAAAAAAAATAAAAAAAAGGAGTGACACTGGGTGACTTCCAAGACTAGGTCATAAAAGACAATGCAGCTTCTTCTGTCTTGTTCCCTGGAATATATGCACTTGGAGCCTTGCTATGTAAAAAGTCCACTTACCCCGAGTCTGCTGTGCTACAAGGAAGTCAAGCTAAATGGAGAGCTCTGGGTAGTGCTCTACTGAACAGTCCTAGTCTTTGAATCATTCCAGCCCAGGTCCCAGACGTGTAACTGAAGATTTAAGATTATTTCAACCCTCAGTTTTTGAGCCACCCCAATCTTCACATCTTCTCAGTTAAGGCTCCAGAGTCCATGGAACAAAGATAAGACACCCCCGCTGTGCCCCATCTGTATTCTTGACTCACAGAATCAGTGAACATAATAAAATGGCTGTTAAGTTGCTAAGTTTGGGTAATCTGTTATGCAGTCATAGGATAAAGAACACTTTTGATGGCTCTGAAATGCAAAGAACAACCCATACTTACTTCAGGAACTTGCTTTCCATTAAGTCAACCCAAGTCCCAGATACCACTGGGAGCCTTTTGGTTCACTGCAAAAGCATCCTATCTTTTTGGCATATGTTTTACTTCTTTTCTTTAGCAGAAGAGGGAAAGAACTTTTCTTATGTTACGGATATCATTCCCAACTCCCTTCCCAGGGAAGCTGCTTACCTTCATTAGCTCAATATTGGCTTCCATTGCCACTATACCACATCCTGCAAGGATGCCTAGGACCTCTCTTAAAATTTATCTTTCTGGACATTTCATGAAGCCTTGCAGTGATCCTCAAGGGTAGTTCTGAAACCATCTCCATGGGGTTAACAAGAATTACATGCCGGGTTCTGGACAGAAATATGGCTATAGCTCATTATTAATCAGGCTGCACTTTGGCCCACTTCCTTGTTGCTAAATGTCACGTAACACCAGATACTGACCATTTGCACCTCCTTCTTCCTATAGACAGGATCTCTGACATTAGAATCATAACACTTTTAAGGATAGTTTAAGATGTTTTCAGGCCCCCAAATCCAGCAACCAGTTTGAAAACCCCCCGCCAGAAAGGAATGGGATGGATCAGCATGTGAATACAGCCTAGCTGTATTATCTCCCTCTACCATGACTTCAATCTGCAAGCTCCAACCAATCAATGATCTCTATACTTTGGGCATTCCAAAAACCTTAAAAACCCTAACCTCAAATTCCTTGGGGAGATGGATTGAGGTTCCCTCCCATCTCCTCATTTGGTGACCCTACGATTAAATCTCTTCTCTGCTGCAACCTGGTGTCTCAGCATATCAACTTGCTGCATGCACTGGGTGATGAACCTACTATGGTTACAGTTTGGGTCCCCCTACCCCATATAAGAATCATCTGGGGAGCCCATTAATGATGCAAATCCCTCAAATGAACTGTGAACCTAAAGAATCAAAACTCTGGGGATGCTCTCAGATGATTCTTATGCATACTAAAGTGTGAGACACGCTGTCATCCTGCCTCCCAAAGCAAACAAAAAAAAAAAACAACTGTGGAAAAAGAAACTTTTTATCCTCTACTATCAAAATCAACACAGAACACTTCTTCACTAGATGTATGGGGATTTTTCCACATACATGAAGCAGTTCTCCAGCAGACACCAACTGGGTGTCCTACCATTCAATTCATTTCTACCTCCTCCCACCTTGGGTTCAATGTCAGAATAGCTCACAGAACTCAGGGAAGCACTATACTTACATTTACTGGTTTATTATAAAGGATATTATAAGTGACACAGATGAGATGCCTGAGCACTCATGCCCTCTCAGCATGCCACTCTCCCAGGATAACCACGAGTTTAGTTACCTGGAAGTCCAATCTTATTCAAGAGTTTTCATAAAGCTTAATTTTCAGCCTGTCCTCCGCCACCCTTCCTGGAAATGGGTTGGTGGGAAGGAAAGTTCCAATCCTCTAATCCCCTGATCACTTAAACTTTCAGGTGACTGGTCACCCTCTGAGGTTATCTAGGCACCGCCCCACCCTAAACCACTTATTAGCATAAATTCAGGTGTCATCAAAAAGGGCTCATTATGAAAACAAGATACTCCAATCACTCAGGAAATTCCTACGGTTTTAGAAGCTCTGTGACAAGAATGGGACAAAGATCAAATATATTTCTTTTTATACCATACCAATGCTTTCTAATTTTCCTTTTACCTGGCTGGCATTTCTTTTTCTTGTTTGAGATGGAGTCTCCCTCTGTGGCCCAGGCTGGAGTGCAGTGGCACGATCTCAGCTCACTGCAATCTCTGCCTCCTGGGTTCAAGTGATTCTCCTGCCACGGTCTCCTAAGTAGCCGGGATTACAGGAGTGTACCACCACACCCAGTTATTTTTCTACTTTTGGTAGAGACAGGGTTTCGCCATGTTGGCCAGGCTGGTCTCAAACTCCTGACCTCAGGTGATCCACCTGCCTCGGCCTCCCAAAGTGTTGGGATTACAGGCGTGAGCCACCATGCCTGGCCCCTGGCTGGCATTTCCATGGATAGTCCCTCTTCCTCTCCCCAGTGTTTTTCATTACACACTCTCCCTGGATCATCTCATCAACTCCTGTGATTTCAATCACCAACACAAGCCAATAATAATTCCTAAATTTCCTGGAATTCTCCCTAGTCCAAGTCTCATATTTCCAACCGCCTTTTTGGTAACTACACTTGAATATATATAGTTGTATTAAACACACACAATTTATGGCCTATACTACTTGTCAGAGGTGTTTGAACCAGAGCAACTCCATCTTGAATAGGGGCTGAGTAAAATGAGGGTGAGACCTACTGGGCTGCATTCCCAGTAGGTTAGGCATTTTAAGTCACAGAATGAGATAGGAGGTTGGCACAATATATAGGTCACAAAGACCTTGCTGATAAAAGAAGTGACCAAATCCCACTAAAACCAAGATGGCGATGAAAGTGACCTCTGGTCGTCCTCACTACTCATTGTAATATATATATAATATGTATATAATATACATTAAACTAATTATAATACATTAGCATGCTAAAAGACTCTCCCACCAGTGCCGTAACAGTTTAGATGCCATGGCAACATCCAGAATGGATGGCTATATGGGCTAAAAAGGGGAGGTACTGGCCGGACATGGTGGCTCACACCTGTAATCCCAGCACTTTGGGAGGCCGAGGTGGGTGGATGGCCTGAGGTCAGGAGTTCGAGACCAGGCTGGCCAACATGGTGAAACCCATCTCTACCAATAATACAAAAATTAGCTGGGCGTGGTGGCACACTCCTGTAAACCTAGCTACTAGTAGGGAGGCTGAGGCAGGAGAATCGCTTGAACCTGAGAGACAGAGGTTGCAGCGAGTCAAGATCATGCCATTGTGCTCCAGCCTGGATGACAAGAGCGAAACTATCTCCCAAAAAAAGAAAAAGAGGGGGACAGGTACCAACTTTCAGTTCTGGGAATTGCCACCCCTTACCTGGAAAACTCATGAATAATCCACCCTTTGTTTGGCATACAATGAAGAAATAACCATAAAAATAGCAAAGCAGCAGCTCTTGGGGCTGATCTGCCTATGCAGCAGCCATTCTTTATTCCTTTACTTTCTTAATAAACTTGCTTTCACTTTATGGACCCACCCGGAATTCTTTCTTGCACAAGGTCCAAGAACCCTCTCTTGGGGTTAGGATCAGGACCCCTTTCTGGTAACAATACTATAACTGCCTCCTACCTCCTGTTCTCATTTAATTCATTCTCCCCATTATATCTAAGGTTATAATTGTAACATCCAATCCTCTCATGACTATTTTCCAAAATAAAAGAATGCAGAACTCCTTAGCATGATATATTAATATAAGGTCTTTTACAATCTGACTTTTGCTTACAAAGTCTCTTCTTTTGCTAGTTTCATAACGCCTTAAATTCAACTACTTGAGTTCTCCAAACATACTGTGGTCTCTCTCCCCCTTTCTATTTATGGCTTTCTGCAAGAAATGAGCTTTTGGACCTTTTTCACATCCAAAGCTATACCTATTTCTCATTCTCGGTAGGACAGTTGAGTCATCACCTTCCCAGGAGGCTCTTCCTTCCTACTCCACCCTAATCTGAAGTAGGATCTTTTTAAATGGAGCTGTCTCATGCCAGACTCTGTGTAAGGCCCTGAGAATATGGTCAAATGGGAGAAGCAGAAAATAAAAACATAAAATAAGAGCATTGTGAAAAGTGTTGAAAGACATTAACAGGGTGCTTTAACAGAAAATAACTGAGAAGGAATAATTTAGACAGACTGGTCAGAGAAAGTATCCAAGGTAGTAACATTTAAGATGAAATATGAAGAATAAGAAGGCATCAGATATAGATAGAACAAGGAAAGGAGAGTTGTAGGCATAGGGAATTGCAAGGGCAAAAGCCCTAACATGGGAAATAGCTTAGAAGGCCAACGAAGTCAGTTTAGTAAATAAATGCCTCTGTTGGTACACAGCACATGATAGCTGAATGACCAATTATGGAGCTACTTATTTGTCTTTGCATATAAGCTGTGGCAGAGATCACCCTATCACTCTGGATAGTGACACCAACGTAATGGTGCCTCCTACTCTCCCTCTGGGAATGATGGAGTTGAAAATTCTGGAAGACATACCTGATCACTGCCCTTTTCTTCCCCCCATAATCCTTACAACCTGTGAACCTGATAATTGTCAACCTTAAGAAAGATACTGAAGAAAATCACCTCTAAATTAGCCAGGCACAGTGGCTCACACCTGTAATCCCAGCACTTTGGGAGGCTGAGGAGAGTGGTTCACTTGAGGTCAGGAGTTCGAGACCAGCCTGGCCAACATGGTGAAACCCCATCTCTAATAAAAATATAAAAATTAGGCCAGGGCCAGGCACAGTGGCTCACGCCTGTAATCCTAGCACTTTGGGAGGCTGAGGTGGGTGGATAGCCTGAGCTCAGGAGTTCGAGACCAGCCTGGGCAACATGGTAAAACCCCATCTCTACTAAAATACAAAAAAAAAAAAAAAATTAGCCAGGCGTGGCAGTATGCGCCCGTAGTCCTAGCTACTTGGGAGGCTGAGGCAGGAGAACTGCTTGAACCCAGGAGGCAGAGGTTGCAGTGAGCCGAGATGGTGCCACTGCACTCCAACCTGGCAAGAGTGAGACTCTGCCTCAAAAAAAAAAAAAACAAAAAAATTAGGCCAGATGCAGTGGCTCACGCCTGCAATTCCAACACTTTGTGAGGCCAAGGCGGGTGGATCACCTGAGGTCACGAGTTCAAGACTAGCCTGGCCAACACAGTGAAACCCTATCTCTACTAAAAATACAAAAATTAGCCAGGTATGGTGGCGCACGCCTGTAATCCCAGCTACTCGGGAGGCTGAGGCAGAAGAATCGCTTGAACCCGGGATGTGGAGGTTGCAGCGAGCCAAGATTGTGCCATTGCACTCCAGCCTGGGCGACAGAGCGAGACTCCATGTCAGGAAAAAAAAAAAAAAAAAATGCTGAGTTTACTTAGGAATCAAAGATAAGGATTACAATCTGGAATGCATGGAATGGCATACCAGTGCATTCAGTGAGGGTAAGACGAGTTTTTTTAATCAGCAAAAAGAGATTTACATAAGCTGCCTAGAAACAGAGTTCTTTGGTTCCAGAGGTTCAATGACAGCTATTGTCAGTTCATTGGTGGAGATGCCATTACTGGACAAGAACTCTCCTGAGAACATTTTATCTGAATTAATGCAGTCCTAAAGTATGTTTATTGATAAGTCTTATCAAAGCAGGAGATTTGAAAGAATTTCTAGAATGTCCTTGGAAATAGTTATCTCAGACACGTAAGCAAGAGCCTCTTTCCTTCTAGGCCTCTCTAGGTCTGACAAAAATTATTTCATCCTAGCTTCTGAAACTTTCACATAATCAAGTAAACTTAAAAGAGTAAATCACAAATTATGCTTATCATTTATCTGTATTTCCATTCTTAAAACTGGCTAAGAGCCAATTCTTAGACATGAGAATCATGAAAAGGTAAAAATATGACTGACTTTCATAAAGCTTCATTTTATACCAGGAGGTAAAATGTACAAATTCTTTCACATGCTAACAGCTTTAATGTTCAACACAGGCAGAAACTTGCGGGGCTGGGGGAGGATGGGAGAAATATTACTTGCTGAAACATCAGACACAAAGCTGATTTCTAGAAACTAACCTTAGAAGTAATAATAAATAATTACCTGCCAAAAAACGCCACCTTCATGTGTCTCCGAGACAGCACCTCACCAATGATGGAAAGCTTGTCTTTATATCCCTGCATTTCTACCAGATCATTCTCAGTGGCTATTCGATCAAGTTCTGGATTCTTGTATGTTGCTGTGAAATTGAAATGGCGTCAGAAAAGTGATATAAATGAATATTAAGTTAGTTATATAATGGAATACCTAAGATTGTATGTATTTTGGCTTTATGTTAACATGCCACCCACAGCATCTGAATGTTTGGTAAAAGGTGCATACTCTGTGGCAATGGGTCATAAGAATCCCGCCCGAAAGAATTTCAAGAATATTAAACGTTGCAAGGGCACAATCAAAAGTGTACTTCTAGGTCTCAAACATACAAACTACCCCTGAGACAAGACTACATTTCTAAACAGAGAAACTAGAACCTAACACTGACCTATTATTGTTCCAACCTGACAGGATGGATCTTCAGATCTTGAACTCAGAAGGGGGAGCCACATACTGAGAAAAAAATGAGGTTTAATAGGAGCCCCTCAGAAATTAAGATGTGGTTCAAGGTCTCCAAGCTAGGAAAGACCCTGCTACTTTACCACGTTCTATCTGCTTCCCTCAGGGATGAGGTGAAACAGCTCATTTAACAGAGAAGAAAGAGAATTACAGTTTGTGTCCCGTCTACAGCCATACCACCCTGAATGTACTCGATCTCATCAGATTGTATCCCAGTCTCACTCTCATCAGGTTTAGGGTTTAACTGCACATCCCAGCCCTCACCTCTCCTCTATAGCTGGAGGTAGTTAAAAAAGCCTGGGTTTGAAAGTAGAAAAATATTTCAATTTTGTTTATAATTCAGGAATAGGAGATAACCTGATGTTTACATTCTTATCACCTCTTTTTGAAGGTAAAGACATGAAGATTCATGTGGGCATGAGGGCTCACGCCTATAATCCTAGCACTTTGGGAGGCCGAAGTAGGCAGATCACTTGAAGTAAGGAGTTCGTGACCAGTCTTGCCCAAATTGTTAAACCCCCTTTTTTCTTAAAATTCCAAAATTAGCTAGAAATCACTTGAATCTGGTAGGCGGAGGTTGCAGTGAGCCAAGATCATGCCACTGCACGCCAACCTGGGCAACAGAGCGAGACATCGTCTCAAAAAGCAAAAACAAAAAAAAGATTCATTATCTGAATGATCCTAATTAGAGACAAACACTGCCACTGAAAACATACCCAGTGCACATCCAATTAAGCTTCTCATATCTCACCATACTTTTTTAATGCATTAATAAAATATATGCAATTTGGTGAATAATGGACAGACTTGTTTAAGTATCATTACATTTATTTTTGCTTTTCATTTTATTTTTGCTCTTGTATGTTTTTCCTGATTTATTTGCTTTGTCTCCTTTTTGCAACATTTTTACTGAGGTTCTAAAACCTTTAAAACTGAATTCAGATTCTAAAGCTGCCATTTCACTAGTGCCTAGCATAATGCACGATCTATAACACGCACAATACACATTTAACTTCATTTTCACTTATTAATTTTTTTAGAGAATAAAATATTTTTCAAAAGTCAACTGTGCCAGCTCAAATTATTTCCTAATTGGAAACAAAGATTCTATACTACTATTTTTTTTTTTCTCATTCAGCATTCAATTGTGTCAAGTCTGGTGCTAGGAATACAATGAGTCCTAGGCTCCTGCCCTAAAGGAGCTCAAAATCTGGTAAGAGAGGGTTGCGAGAGACATGAAAAAAAAAGTTTGATTCTACCAATCTATCAAAGGTTTCCAGCGTTGCTGGGAAAATTTATAGAATCCCTCCCTTTCCATTGTACAGTTGAGAGGTACATAATCTTTGTTTTTTTGGTTTTTTTTTTTGAGATGGAGTCTCACTCTGTCGCCCAGGCTGAGTGCAGTGCGCAACCTCGGTTCACTGCAACCTCTGCCTCCCAGGTTCAAACGATTCTCCCTCCTCCAGCCTCCTGAGTAGCTAGGATTACAGGCTTCCACCACCATGCCGAGCTAATTTTTGTATTTTTAGTAAAGACAGGGTTTCACCATGTTGCTCAGGCTGGTCTTGAACTCCTAACCTCAGGTAATCCACCCACCTTGGCCTCCCAAAGTGCTGGGATTACAGGTGTGAGCCAGGGTGCCCGGCTGAGAGGTACATAATCTTAAGAACCAGCAAAAAATTTCAACAGTTATCTTCAAAGAAGTATTCCCGGCCAGGCACGGTGGCTCACACCTGTAATCCCAGCACTTTGGGAGGCCGACATGGGAGGATCACGAGGTCAGAAGTTCGAGACCAGCCTGGCCAACATGGTGAAACGCCATCTCTACTAAAAATACAAAAATTAGCTGGGCATGGTGGCACGTGCCTGTAGTCTCATTTAGTCTGGAGGCTGAGGGAGAAGAATCGCTTGAACCCAGGAGGTGGAGGCTGCAATGAACCGAGATCCCGGCACTGCACTCCAGCCTGGGCAAGAAAGCAAGACTTTGTCTCAAAAAAAAAAAAAAAAAAGTACTCCCTAGTAAGACATTCCTCATCACCATTGTTTCAACAGTTATGAAATGCCTTTTGCCCCTTTCCACTGCAACTCAGCCTCATTTAAGAGAATGAGATATGCCTGAGGTCTTGGTTTAACCGCTAAGTTGGGGAGGAGACAAGTATAATGGTTAAATGTGGACTGCCTGATTTTTTGTCTGGGCATTTATTAGCTGTGTGACCTTGGGCAAGCTGTTTAACTTTTCTTTGATTTAGTTTCTTCATCTTTAAAATGAAAGATGGTGGTGATGAAAATTAAATGAACTACTAATATAGCTATTTCATCACCTAGTGGTGATAAAAATTAAATGAGCTATTAATATACTAAAGTTGTTATTAATACCATTTAATTTTCCCCTTCTGGAGGGTAGAAATGGGTTTTACTCGTTATGGTACTTCTCATAGTATACAGTACAATGCCCTATATGTGTTCAATAACTAATGTTGAAAGAATACGCATTTTTATATATTTTCAACAGTAATTACTTTAAGAACTTAAGAAGAACTAACCTTCAACAAAATGTGATCCTTCAGTAACAAACTCCAGTAACTGGTCAAAGATTGCAGTAATAGCCTTCTTAGCCAGCACAAAGTGCTTCAGTGGAGAAACAGTTTCTGCCATTATGCTACTAGGGGGAGATAAAGTTAGAAAAGCACAAACTAAAGTGGATGATAGACATGTAAACTGATGACACACCAGTGACAGTCATCAACTCCCCAATGAGATAAATTATGCTGGCAAAATGTTTTTAGGTAATTCTTTTTTGGGAGTGTTCTAGTCAGACAATTAGAGATGACTTTTGAATGATATTTCACTAAAATAAGTGAAATCTATTAGCCAAAATTTTGGTTGCAATTTCGACTCAATTTCCCTTTGGTGAAGATGAAACTAATTGTGACTAAGTTTGTCACTGCATGTGACTATAAAGTACATCAGGGAATAGGGTTAGTGAAAGGAAGCCAAGTTCACAAACAATAACGAAGTTATTAAGTTTCTCAACCTGAACCTCTAGGTGAGTGGGGGTGGATATGCAGAGTGAGGAAATAAAATTCTAAGATCACAACGTGAGGCTGACATTTAGAAAGACGGAATTCATCACTACAAATGAGGAGGTAAGGCTTAAAGAGGGCATTAACGCTTCCAGCCAAAGTATCAGAAACTTCAAGGAATATGAGTCTCAGAAAGCCTAGGTGGTTTCTCAAGAAAAAGACACCAAAGACAAACAATCACGGCCTAATCCTGGTGTGCACATGGAAAGAAACACTGGCCATAAAGAAGGCGGATCCTTCCAGAGAGTCCAGAAATGACCGCGCGAAGGAGCTGCGTGGGAAAAGCCGGGTGGGGGCAACGCCCCGGTCCGGCCGGCGTGAACACCTGCCTTAATAAAAGCCTCCCGCCTTCCCACACCGGGCGCAGTGGTCGGGGCCAGAGCCCACCCCAGCCCCGCGCGCGCCCGTCCAGGTCCGGATCCCCCACTCCCACCCCCGAGCTCGGCCTCGTGGGCTCCGTGGGCTCCGTGGGCTCGACTCGGCCGCCAGCCCCGCTCGCCTGACGGTTCGCTCTCTCCTTTCCCACAGGACCGCGGCGGGCGGCGCCTCGTCACAGAACGCTGCATGCACGACTCCCGCCCCCCTGTCCCCAGTCGCTCGAAGGTCACTCCGAGCGTCGCAAACGTGCTAGCTGTCGAGGCAGCCGGCACTCACTGTCTCCGCTCCAACTATCACCCGGCAACAGCAACTCGGCCACTGATCCCAAACTGCCTCATCTTCCCGAGAAGTTAAAGGCGGAGAGGAGGCAGGGGGAGTGGCAAAGGGCGGCCACTTCCGGCCTCTTGCCTCCTCTGTTCTGTTTGGCTCCGTGGCCGGAAGCGCATCTATGCCAGGCGCCATTTTCCTTAAGGGCAGAAGGCAAGGTTTGTTGTGGGCAGGGACTGCTACCAGGAGAGTGGTTTTCCGTTCCCCCTTCCAACTTCTCACCCTCCCTTCTCCCCTCAAAGTGTCCAAGTCTCTGCCCAGCCTAGGCTTAGCTAGCTTCCAATGATGGCAGTGGCTGACGCCTGTAGTACCGACACTTTGGGAAACCGAAGGGGTGGGATATCTCTTAAGACCAGGAGTTCGAGACTAGCCTGGGCAACATAGGGAGCCCCACCCCGCCGCTTCCTCCTCCCCGTCTCTACAAAATAAAAAAATTAAAAATTAAAAAAAAAAAATTTAAAAACCTAGCGAGGCGTGGTGGCACACACCTGTGGTCCCAGCTACTTCGGAGGCTTAGGTGGGGGGATTGTTTGGGCCCGGGGCTGCAGCGAACTATGATTTATCGTGCCACTGCACTCCAGCCTGGGCAACAGAGCGTGACATTGTCTCCAAATTAAAAAAAAAAAAAAAAAAAAAAAGAAAAAGAAAAGAAAAATCCAGATCATATCACTTTCCGAGTTTAAAAGCTTTCCAGACCCGGCGGGGTGGCTCACGCCTGTAATCCCAGCACTTTGGGAGGCCGAGGCGGGCGGATCACAAGGTCAGGATATCGAGACCATCCTGGCTAACACGGTGAAACGCCGTCTCTACTAAAAACATAAAAAATTAGCTGGGCATGGTGGCGGGCGCCTATTGTCCCAGCTATTTGGAAGGCTGAGGCAGGAGAATGGCGTGAACCCGGGAGGCGGAGCTTGCAGTGAGCCGAGATTGTGTCACTGCACTGCAGCCTGGACGACAGAGTGAGACTCTGGCTCAATAAATAAATAAATAAATAAAAAGAACTTCAGAAAATAGAGCAGAAAACCCAACAGAGAGAAAAGCAGACAAAGGACAGGGAGAAGCATTTCACAAAATGAAAGTGAAAATGACTAATAAGCATATTAAAATAGTCTCGACTTTGTTAGTAATCAGATCTATGCAAATTTAAACAATAATAATGTACTACTTTATACCCTTAAGATTTACAGGAAATTTAAAAATTGTATGATATTGTTGGTAAGCCTGTGAGGAAACATGATCTTGCTGATGGGAGTATAAACTTTAGTCATTCTGCATATATTTTGGAAGTACTGAATCACAAGTATATAAAAAACTTACAAAAATGTGTATGGTAGGTAGCGTTATACATAAAGCAAATACTTAGATACATGAAAGTCAATTTGATATTTAACGAACTTGTAGTTCAGAAAGGTGACAGTTTCCTGCATTATATGGTAAATCTCTTTGAAGTCAAGAACCGTAGTTTATCTTTGTATCCCTGAGCACTTGGCTTGCTGGTAGATGTACCATAGCTGCTGTTGGTTAAATAGAAGCATAGTAAAATAGTTTTTGTTTTTTTTTTGAGGAATCCCGCTCAGTCGCCCAGGCTGGAGTGCAATGGCGCGATCTCGGCTCACTGCAACCCCCACCTCCCAGATTCAAGTGATTCTCCTGCCTCAGCCTCCCGAGTAGCTGCGATTACAGGCATCCACCACCAATGCTTGGCTAATTTTTTATTTTTGTAGAGACAGGGTTTCACCGTGTTGGCCAGGCTGGTCTCCAACTCCTGACCTCAGGTGATCCACCTGCCTCGGCCTCCCAAAGTGCTGGAATTACAGGCATGAGCCACCGTGCCCAACCCGTAAAATAAAAGTTTTTAAGGTCAAAAAAAAAAAAAATTTTTTTTTTTAAGGAAGGGGGTGTCCAATCTTTTGGCTTCCCTGGGCCACACTGGAAGAAGTATTGTCTTGTGTTACACATAAAATACACTAACGATAGCTGATGAGCTTCAAAACAAAACAAAACAAAAAATTGCAAATAAAACTCACAACGTTTTAAGAAAGTTTACAAATTTGTATTGGGCTGTGGGTTGGACAAGCTTGTTTTAAGGAGTTGCAGAACCCATGGACTATTTAAGAAAAACTTAGTAACATTACATCTACTGTTTGTGATCATAGTCACACAATTTATAGCTACTGAACAGGGATTACAAATCAGAGTCATATGCTTTTGTCCTTTATTTTTTAATATGTTATTTTCTCTAAGTGTTTGGTATAACATTCCATGAAAAACACAGGGTACATTTTAACTTTAAAGAAAATTCTTTGAAGAGTGGTTGGGAGTTTGTCATGTTCATTCTACCTTAAAAAGCATTTGACTAATGATGTTAGAAGATCATTTTTCTCAAATATAAATAAGTTTAATCTGGAATTCTATATTCTCCAATTTCAGTCATTCATGTATCATCTACCCAATGTTTTCCATATCCATGTATGACTATTATTTACTTCATATTTTTCAGCAATTTGTTTTTCTTACAAAGTTGATTTTTTCCTAAATTAGCCGGGCGTGGTGGCGGGCACCTGTAGTCCCAGCTACTCAGGAGGCTGAGGCAGGAGAATGGCATGAACCTGGGAGGCAGAGCTTGCAGTGAGCCGAGATCGCACCACTGCACTCCAGCCTGGAGGACAGAGTGAGACTCTGTCTCAAAAAAAAAAAAAAAAAAAAAAAAAGTTAATTTTTTCCTAAGTAAAAATATTCATGAATCAAAGTGTTGTGCCAATGAAATTTTATACCACACAATTTACAACCATGAAAATAAAAACTACATACCATATACAATTATTATTATTATTATTATTATTATTAGAGACAGGATCTCACTCTGTCTGCCCAGGCTGAAGTGCGGTGGCACAATCAATAATAGCTCACTGCCGCCTTGAACTCCTGAGCTCAAGCAATCCTCTCATCTCAGCCTCCCAAGTAGGTGGGACTACAGGCACACACCACCATGCCTGGCTAATTTTATTTTAAATTTTTGTATAGTTGGGATCTCACTATGTTGCCCAGGCTGGCCTCAGGCGATCCTCCTGCCTTGGCCTCCCAAAGAGCTGGGATTATAGGAGTGAGCCCCCACACCCAGACACAATTATTTTTATATGTTTTTCACTTTATGAGTCTAGACTGTATCTCTAAGGTTCATCACAGATCTAACATTGTGTCATTCTAGGTTCGGTCCTTCTACTTCAGCATCTTAGTTGCTCACTAACAATGGATGAATGCTATAAGGAATTTAACCAGAATATTGTAACTATAAAGAAGTTATTAAGATGTGTGCCATAATGTTTTGCTTAAAATCTAAAATAGACACATTCAAAATTTACAAATTCAGCACAAACTGATGCCAGGCAGGTATATATAAAATATCTGCAGGGTATACAAGCAAGTGATGTGGGTATGGCATGAAGGGAGTAACTTATTTTAAGAGTTTGGAGAACAGATAGAAGGAAGAATCAAAACAAATCTACTCTATCTTAGTCAATATAGGCTACTATAACAATGTACCATAGACTGAGTGGCTTATAAACAACAGAAATTTCTCACAGTTCTGGAGGCTGGAAGTCTGAGATCAAGGTGCTAGTATGGTTAGGTTCTGGTGAGGCTCTCTGACCAGATTGCAGACTGACTTCTCATTGTATCCTCACATGGAAAAAGGGTGAGCGCTCTCTGGGGTCCCTTTTATAAGGGCACTAATCCCATTCGTGAGGGCTCCACTTTCATGACCTAATCATATACCAAAGGCCCCATCTTCTAATACCATCACACTGGGGATTAGGATTTGAACATATGAATTTTGAGGGGGACACGTTTAGTTCATGGCAACTTACCTTGTTAGTTGGGAAAACTTTAATCTTTTGAAACTTTCTGAAAACCCAAATAAGATGAGTTGTAAAGATAACAGTAATCAGCCATAGAATATAATTTCAGAAATATGTATTTAAAAAAAGATGAATAAGGCCGGGAGTGGTGGCTCATGACTGTATTACCAGCACTTTGGGAGGCTGAGGCAGGTGGATTGCTTGAGCCCAGGAGTTTGAGATCTGCCTGGGCCTCTCTCATAAAAGAAAAAGAAAAACAGAAAAAGACAAATAATGCCATTGTGGACATAACCACAAATGAACAGGGTAGGCAGGAAACATGGGAATTCTGTATGCTCAAATTTTAGCCAACCAAAATCCAGAACAGCACGGTGAATAGCTTTAAAGAGAAACAAAAAATTACCCACCAGAAATTACATTTGCTGAATATGATTCCAATTTCTGATTTCAGCTTTACTTTGAAAAGTAAAGGCGAAAATATCAGTAATTCAACTGCAGGATTTTTCAGTAGTGGATACACTCTCCGGACAAGATATTAAAAACTAGAAAATTTTGAGTTTTCATTCAAAATATGTACTATTCATTACATTTTTGGAATGTCATTCATTCAGCTCAATATTTCTAGCAAGGGGAAAAAAGATGTCAGGTTAGATTCATTTGCCTATTTAAAAACAACAAAGAACACACTTTTAAATGTTCTGTTAATTTCTTTTAAAACTCTCTAAATAATCACCCTTCATAAAGTATGGGAATAAGATTAGTAGATACTACAATATTCTTTTCCAGCAATGTAAGAAAATTTCTTTTTGGAATGAATAAATTACTCTTCACAAATTTATTTTGGGTTCAGATAGCTACCACTTTAGCACCAAAGTTACTAAAGAGAATTAACTTAATAAGGAATTGGTGGTGACTGATGCTTTAGTATGGAAATTCATTATCCAGAAAATTATTTTTCAAATCACTAGTACAAAGTAAATTCCTAACAACTCTAATAGTCTTAAAATCTTAGTTTTTAAACTTACAAATTGGACATATAACTTTATATAAACAGGTAAACTATATGTGAAAACTTTTAGCTTTGCGAATTTGTTTTAAACCATGAATGTACACCATTTCTTAGATGTGAATGTTGTCTTAAAAGATTAATTTATGGAAAGCCAAATTAACATAAGGAATATATGTAATCCCATAAACTCAGTGCCATAATAAAAATTCTCTTCTGACACTCTATCTTTAGTCAACAGTACTGAGGTTAAAAGTTATAGGCAAGGGAATATATATCCCAAAATTTGTTTTATTTATTGGGATGAAACTGTTAATTGTATGATATACCTGACTAACACAATTGGCTTCTCCACTGGGTTTAACAGGTGATCTTAAGTATTTATTTTCACTTAAATTCTTTTTTTTTTTTCCGGAGACAGAGTCTTGCTCTGTCACCCAGGCTGGAGTGCAGTGGTGCAATCTCGGCTCACTTCAACCTCTGCCTCGGGGCTCAAGCAATTCTCTGCCTCAGCCTCCCGAGTAGCTGGGATTACAGGTGCCCACCACCACGCCCAGCTAATTTTTGTAGTTTTAGTAGAGACAGGGGTTCACCATCTTGGCCAGGCTGGTCTGGAACTCCTGACCTCGTGATCCACCCACCTTGGACTCCTAAAGTGCTGAGATTACAGGCGTGAGCCATCGTGTGCATCCAACCTCACTTAAATTCTTAATGAATATTGATATTTTGGTAAGCCAATCTACTTCCCAAGAAGATTGTGGCCATTTGATTTTTTTTAGCTCTTTCAAATTTATATAACATATGTTTTTGTTTTTTTCTTTTGAGACAGAGTTTCACTCTTGTCACCCATGCAATGGCACGATCTTGGCTCACTGCAAACTCTGCCTCCCGGGTTCAAGCAATTCTCCTGTCTCAGCCTCCCAAGTAGCTGGCATTACAGGTGCTAACCACCACACCTGGCGAACAACCCACTAGATCTGTATAAGTCTATCCTGTAGTCGTTTCGGCCATTTGATAGAAATTGAACAGGGAGTCAGAAACTGGGAATCAGAGTTTCCAAGTTCTTGCTCACCCCATGACCTTGGAGAGATGTTTGTCCTTTTAAGAATCTGTTTCCTCATCTGGAAACAAAGTTAAATTTTGTTGTCGTTGTTTTTTTAGTACAGTACGGGTTTCACCATGTTGGCCAGGCTGGTCTCGAACTACTGACCTCAGGTGATCCGTCCGCCTCGACCTCCCAAGGTGCTGAGATTACAGGCATGAGCCATCGCACCCAGCCAACACATGGTCTTTTTAGGCATTAAAATTCCATTAAAAAATTAACACAGCAGCTTGGAAAATATACTAAGTCTCTTGTAAAAGGTAGTAAGACATACAAGAAAAGTGAAAAAGTGCCAGGATTAAGTAATTCAATGCTTTGTAAATCAGATTTAAGAATTTGGATTAGTGCTAGTCTATTAAAAAAAAAAAAAAGCCTGCAACAATTCAGCAAACAATGGATTAGAGAAACTATGAAATTGACAAACAATATGCAATTCAGAGAAATGTAAGAAAGGTGATTTAAAACGGTAAAACTGGCAAATTTACAAGCAGGAAGAGGCTTTTTAGTGAACAACCATTTTCAATTTCTGGAATACAGGGAAATGTTTTGGAATTTCAAAATATCTCATTGTAAGATGAAGATTTAAAACAGCAAGAAAAACAATAATGACCTGTCACTACTGTTCACTGCTGCCCAGAACCTTCTACTGAAGTGTTAATAAACATCATCAGTCATGTAATCTCAGACTTGAATTGTGGTGCAAGTCACAAGAATACAGTGAAAATGTCTGTCTCTGAAGTTAAAAACTACAACAACAAAAGTAGGAGTGTTAATTTTTTTAGGTAGGTTTGTTTTTCTGAAGTTCATTAAGTTAAAAGACTGGCTGGGCACGGTGGTTCACACCTGTAATCCCAGCACTTTGGGAGGCCGAGGTGGGTGGATAACAAGGTCAGGAGTTCAAGACCAGCCTGGCCAAGATGGTGAAACCCCATCTCTACTAAAAATACAAAAATTAGCTGGGTGTAGTGGTAGATGCCTGTAATCCCAGCTACTCGGGAGGCTGCGGCAGAATTGCTTAAACCCGGGAAGTGGAGGTTGCAGTGAGCCGAGATCACGTCACTGCATTTTAGCCTGGGTGACAGAGGGAGGCTCCATCTCAAAAAATAATAATAATAAATAAATAAAGACCAACTACTTCAAGCAATTTACGGTCAATCATTGATTTGAAAACGGCCAAGGCAAAAAGGTTTTGTGGGACAAACTGTCATTGGGATAGGTCCTTAAGCTGCAGATTCATCAAAAAGTACAAAATTATGCTGGACACAGTGGCTCACGCCTCGGTGGCTCACGCCTCTAATCCTAGCATTTTAGGAGATCCAGGTGGGCAGATCACAAGAGGTCAGGAGTTCAAGACCAGCCTGGTCAACATGGTGAAATCCCATGTCTACTAAAAACACAAAAATTAGCTGGGCGTGGTGGCACACGCCTGTAATCCTAGCTACTTGGGAGGCTAAGGCAGGAGAACTGCTTGAACCTGGGAGGTGGAGGTTGCCGTGAGCCAAGATCACGCCACTGCACTCCAGCCTGGGCGACAGAGCAAGACTCTGTCTCAAAAAAATAAATAAATAAAGTACAAAATTTTATGGTTCTGAAACTTGGATTTATGTCTCTTTGAGTAGCTGCATTGCAATCTTTTCTTCTCTTTTCTTTTTGAGATGGAGTCACCCAGGCTGGAGTACAGTGGCACGATCTTGGTTCACTGCAAGCTCTGCCTCCCAGGTTCACGCCATTCTCCTGCCTCAGCCTCCCAAGCAGCTGGGACTACAGGTACCCGCCACCAAGCCCGGCTAATTTTTTTGTATTTTTAGTAGAGATGGGGTTTCACTGTATTAGCCAGGGCGGTCTGGATCTCCTGACCTCGTGATCTAAAGTGCTGGGATTACAACCACTCCCGGCCCACATTCTTTTCAATTACTAACACTTGATCAAAATGTAAAGCAGCAAATAGATTTTAAAAAAACAAACAAACCAAGACATTACTTAAGGTGTTTTTCTGAAAATCTAATTCCTGGAGCTAGATGTATAAAAAGCATAAAAACAAAATTATCAAGAACTAGGTTAATTGTTAGGTAGTCACAAAAAACATCCGAGGGACAAAGGTTAGGTTTATGTAGCATAGTGTAATGGAACCATCACTAGACTGTAAACCAGATAACCTGGATCCCACTCCCATATGCCATAACTGGTTATATGTAATTGGCCTCATAGTGACCTACATTTCTATTTCTGCAAGAAACTTAGAAAACTAGAGGCTTTAGACCAGATGCTTTCTAAGGTTATCTTACAATTTAAACTGTTACACTTTTAAGTCTTATGAGAAACATTTGTATCAGCCCTAACAGGAATGTTATAATTAGATGGAATGTGAGTTGCTAGGAACAGGTATGCACATACAACAAAATAGTCGGGATAAAAATAATACCTTCTAAGAATACTTGCAACCACCATTGTCAAAACAGACTAAATTCTTGAAGTAGGAAAACCATTGGTCACAAATTGATCTTCCACTTGTATCAATAAACCTAAAAAATAGTATTGTTAGCAGTGCTTGTTAAATTTGAGAGCAATGATACACATAATTGTCTTCTTTGTACTGCTGTTTCAGACTCTGCTACTGAATTATGTTCCCTCCCAAATTCATATGTTGAAGTCTTAAACCTCAGCACCTTAGAATATGACGTTATTTGAAGATCAGTTCTTCAAGTTAAAATGATGTTGGGAGGGGCCCTAATCCAATATGACTGGAGTCCTTATAAAAAGAGGAAATTTGGCCCAGCGCGGTGGCTCATGCCTGTAATCCCAGCACTTTGGAAGGCTGAGGCCGATGGATCACCTGAAGTCAGGAATTTGAAACCAGCCTGACCAATGCGGTGAAACCCTGTCTCTACTAAAAATACAAAATTAGCCCAGCTGGCGCCTGTAATCCCAGTTACTCGGGAAGCTGAGGCAGAAGAATCACTTGAACCCGGGAGGCGGAGGTTGCAATGAGCTGGGATTGCGCCACTGTACTCCAGCCTGGGTGACAAGAGTGAAATTCCATCTCAAAAAATTAAAAAAGAAAAAAAAAAGGGGGGGAAATTTGGGGACAGACTCGCACACAGGGAGAACACCATGTTAACATGAGGCTATCCATCTACAAGCCAAGGACAGACCTGAAACAGATCCTTCGCCTACAACCCTCAGAAGGAACCAACTCTGCCAGTAACTCCATTTTGAAAGTCTGGCCTCCACAACTGAGAGACCATAAATTTCTGCTAGGCAACTCAGTTCGTAGTAATTTGTTATGGCAGCCATGGGAACTAATATCGATGCTAATTTATCATTTTATTGACAAACAAATATTGTTAAGCTATACATTTTCATGCCAGCAACCCGTATCTCCCAGATCTTCCTAACTTTACATTAAATACTTCAGTGGGTTTTCTGTCAATAAACAATTTGACGTCAGAGATTTGGGCAAGAGTCGGCATAATGGCTCATGCCTATAATCCCAGTGATTTGGAAGGCCAAGGTGGGAGGACTGCTTGAGTCCAGGAGCTTGAGACTGGCCTGGGCAACATAGCGAGATCTCATCTCTATAAGAAATTTAAAAACAGCGGGCATGGTGCCACATGCCTGTAGTCCTAGCTATGCAGGAGGCTGAAGTGGGAGGATTGCTTGAGCCTGGGAGACTACTGCCTGGGAGCTGTGATCAACCACTGCACTCCATCCTAGACAACAGAACGAGACCGCCTCTAAGGAAAAAAATATTAAGTCTGTGCATGAATTTATGGTTCCTCAACAGAAAATGAAACATCAAGTTATGAATGAGTTATGATAGTTATTTATTATTGTGTAAGCCCTTATTAGTTCCTCCCTCATCCCATCTTAAAATATTCAACAATAGACGGGGGCTCAAAAAATTTTTTTTTAAAAAACAGACTGCCATGAAAACCAAATCTTTTCTTCCTGTAATAACAGTGGCTTCCTAGTGTTATTTCTTATTAATGACAGTATCCGTGGACTTAATTGTATATTGCATTTTAGTTCTAGTCGTGTAATAATTTAATGACTTCATACACAAAAAAACTAATATTGTCTTGAGTTTTAAAAAGAAAAAGTTACTAGCACCCACGGTTAAGGAAGAAAAACTGCAGCTCATTTCAATACATTTGTTTCTTTTCAATTCATGAAATCGAGCACATGCAAGAAACAGGATGACAGTCACCAGGAGTGGTTAAAACTACAAACTATCACGCAATTGAAAATACCACATTAAAGATATATTTATATACTGAAAATGGAGGAATGCCAATAAAATTTTATAATTTACAAAAGTTACCTGTTAAAGGCAAATTTCATAAGTTGTGTTTACAATCATCCATTTAATCATCTCCAAAAAAAGGCTGAATTTATTATTTTAAACTTTCTGTAAGTTAAAGAGAATAATCAAGTTGTCTCATGGACTGGAAGGTGACTTATTAATTCCCTTTCATTTCCAAACCTCATCAAGCAGTCACTACATTTATGAGGCAAGTCAGCTGAGTGCTTGAAATCTAGATGAATTTTAAGATCTTCAATTTGTCCTGTTGAATATTCACAATATTGACATAAATAAATCCCTTCAGATAAATGTGAATTTAAATGCTTGCAATATTCTAGCATACTTGAAAAGCCTTTCCCACAGTCATCACAAACATGAGGAAAAATTTTAGTATGTTCAATAGCAACATGCCTGTTAACATTCGTATGAAGTCTACTCCGAAAACCACATACTTGACATACAAAGAAATTTTTACATTTGTCAAAGGTAATTTTGCTTAAGAGGCTATACTGTCCATGTTCTCCATTGTTATACTTATCACTTAACTCTATTAATTTACATGCATGCTCATTTACCACATGGCTATGCAAGTCTTCTGGATCATTAGTTTCATGTTCACAGAACTGACACAAGTACTGTTCATCACAGCTATGCTCCTGGAAATGTAGGTAGAGTTCACTGCTTGAGGAGAACTGTACATCACACTGTTCACACCAATAGAGGTGATCACTAAAATGGGTGTCTGCAATGTGCTGGCTGAGGTTCTCAAAAATTACTGTCTTATAATCACAGTATTTACAAATGTAGGGATCCTCTTCATGTAGTTTGGCATGTTCTATCAGAAGCATATTGGTAGAGAAACTTTCCTTGCACACTCGACACACATTTGAATCAGTACGTTTATGCTTCAGGATCATATGCTGCTTTAAGTCAGAAAAATATTTGCTGTTAAACTCACAAAGTTCACATTTATAGAGGCCACTGCTATTAGCTCTCAGTAAAGGCCATTTCTGCTGGGCAGTCACATTCAAAGCTTGGCTCTTGTCAAGAATTTTACAAAGTTTAGCTGGTGGTTCTTCATCAGTTTGGTCTTGGAGACTCTCAGAGGAATTGTTTTCTGTCTCTATATCATAATCCTCAGAAATTGCATGCACTTCTACAGCAATTGGAACATCTTCAGCAGTGTGAACTTCTATAGGACTCTCCTCTTGGGTTTGCTGGTTGACTGATTCAGGTGAGTCACACTCTTCATCACAAATTTCAATATCAGCAGATTTTTCTGAAGAATAAAACAAACCTATTATATGACTATAACTAAATAAGATCTGTGAAATACAACTGGGCAAAAAGAAATTTATTGCATGCACTTTTTTAAAAATTCACCAATACAAAATGTATCAATGCTATTAATTAGTTCCCCCAACCTGTAGAAAAGGCAGTGTGGTCTAGAATTCTAAGTACAGGACTGGGAACCAGGTAGTTCTGATTTCTGTTTCTGGCCTTGATTCCATCCGCAAATTTTGGCAAGTCATTTGATGTCTCAGTATCAGAATCATCATCTGTAAAAAGGAATTTGGAAGAATACTTATTATTTATATAATCAAAGCATTAATTATAGAACGAAGCATCAATTTTTAAATACAATTTTGAATTCCAACAGGAACTAAGACTTGGATTTAGTCACAAAAAGAAAATTATCTATATACCTCAGACACAGAAAATCTGCTCAAACAAGCAAATGCTTTAGAAATGATGCCCCATTTGAACTAGGTTACACTTTTTGAAGTTTCTTAGGATTTTAAGTTTAAATTCCTGAGTTTCAGTAAGTCTTTATATCCGCAGGTTAGCGCCAGTGTTTCAATGGTAGCACGGGGAAACTGAAATACAGGTTAATAGTGAAAATTGGGCTTCAATATTTTGCGAGGGAGCAAGTTTTGCTCTGTCTACCAAGGCTGGAGTACAGTGGCATGATTGTGGCTCACTCACTGAAGCCTCAAACTCCTGGGCTCAAGTGACCCTTCAGTCTCAGCCTCCTGAGTAGCTAGGACTATGGGCATGCACCACCAAGCCTGGGTAATTCTTGTTTTTTGAGATGGGGTCTTGCTATGTTGTCCAGCCTGGTCTTGAACTCCTGGCCTTAAGTGATCCTCCCACCTTGGCCTCCCAAAGACCTGGGATTATAGGCATGAGCCACCACACCCAGCCCATCCATCATGTTTTCTTAAAATAGACTTTATTTTTTACAATAGTTTTAGAATTACAGAAGAATCTGAGAGGATAGTATGGAGAGGTCCCATGTATCCCAGTTTCTCCACTACTGACATCTAACATTAGTATGGCACATTTGTTAAAATTAATGACCAATACTGATATCTTATTAATAAAGCCATCTAGATGTCCTTAGTTTTTAACCTAATATCCCTTTTCTGTTCCAGGATACCACATTCCATTAAGGTGCCATGTCTCTCTAGACTATTGTTGGCTATGGCAGTTTCTCACTCCTTGAGGAGTACTAATCAGGTATTCTGTAGGATGCCTTGCTAATGGAATTTGTTGCTTTCTTTTTTTTAAATGATTAGGCTGGAATTACGGGTTACTGGGAGATAGATCAGAGGTAAATTGCCATTTTCATCACTTCTTATAAAGGGTACATACTATCAATATGATTTATGGTTGTTGATGTTGATCTTGATCACCTGCCTAAGTATTTATCAGGTTTCAACACTGTAAAGTTGTCTTTTTTTTGTTTTTGTTTTTGTTTTTTTGAGATAGAGTTTTGCTCTTGTTGCCCAGGCTGGAGTGCAATGGCGTGATCTCAGGTCACCGCAACCTCCGCCTCCCAGGTTCAAGCAATTCTCCTGCCTCAGCCTCCTGAGCAGCTGGGATTACATGCATGCACCACCACGCCTGGCTAATTTTGTATTTTTAGTAGAGACGGGGTTTCTCCATGTTAAGGCTGGTCTCGAACTCCTGACCTCAGGTGATCCGCCCACCTCAGCCTCCCAAAGTGCTGGGATTACAGGCGTGAGCCACCGCGCCTGGCCTAAAGTTGTACTTTTATTTTCCATACTTTACCCTTTGTAAGAAGTCACTATGTGCAGTCCATGTTAAGGAGTACAGACTTATATTCCATCTCCTAGAGGGAGGAGTAGCTACATAAATAATCTGGAGTTTTATTATTTCTTGGTCTTTTGGTTAAGTCTAATAATTTGGAATTTTTCTGCACAGATTTGCCTCTTCTCCTCTATTTAATAATTTATAACAGCATGAATTCATGGATATTTTATACTCTGGGTTATAATTTTTTGTCCTCAAATAGGTTTCAGTTTTGGCTACTGGGAGCTCTTTAAGTTGACTTGTGCTCCTTTAGCATGCCCCTGTCAAGTGCGTGTGTTTGGGTTTTTTTAAGTACTTTTCCTATTTTCCGGCACTACAAAATGCTCCAGGTTCATCTTGTATTTCCTGCCCCAGACCTAGAATCAGCCATTTTTCCAAGGAGGCCTAGTTCTTTTCACTAAAGAATGGCATTAGAAACCAAGACCTGGGCACTCAATGTGCTCATGCTCACTGCTTCTGGGTGTCATTTCTTTTAGGCCCTCTCAGCTAACAGAGCAAAAAGTGTGTGTGTGTACAGTACCATATATATATACACACACACACATATCTACAAGCATTCTGTATGTAGCCATCTGAATCTATAGTAAGCTAAACATGAATTCATACTGATGTCTCCAACTCTACATGATTTTTGTAATTTATATTTCTGTGCCTGTAACGGGAGCTCAAGGGAACTGGGACAATCTGGTTACAGAAGAAGTTTAAGTGCAAGTTGTAAATTGTTATCCTTCACCAATGCTCTAGAACAGAGGAGCCAATAGAAGATCCAAGATTGAAAAATACCAAATCAACCTCTGTTCTTTTCTTCCACACTATGTGGTATAGCTGAGTAGAACTGTGTCTAACACTATTCTTAACCTTTCAAGATAAATATTCCCAACTCTGAGTCACACCTGCTTTGCCACCAATTCCTAACCAACTAAAGTGGATTTAGGACTGAGAGCCGTGGCTCAGCACTCTGTGAGGCCAACATGGGAGGACTGTTTGAGGCCCGGAGTTCAAGACCAGCCTGGGCAACACAGCAAGACCCTGTCTTTACAAAAAAATTTTAAAAATTAGCCAGGCATCGTTGTGCATGCCTGTAGTCCCAGCTACTCAAAAGGCTGAATGGGAGGAATGCTTTAGTTCAAGAGGTCAAGAATGCAGTGAGCCATAATCCATCGAGTGAGACATGTCTGCGATGGGTGACAGGAATGAAGACTGTCTCCCTGCAACCCTACTCCCTTCAAAAAAATGGACTTACGAGAGTGACACTTTTTTATTTATATATCGAGAAATAATGTTGAAAAGTTAAAATTATAGCCGGGCACGGTGGCTCACGCCTGTAATCCCAGCACTTTGGGAGTCTAAGGCTGGCGGTTCATGAGGTCAGGAATTTGAGATCAGGCCTGACCAACATGGTGAAACCCTGGTCTCTACTAAAAATACAAAAATGAGCTGAATGTGGGGCGCGCTTCGTAACCCAGCTCACTCAGGAGGCTGAGGCAGGAGAATCGCTTGAACCGGGACAGAGGTTGCAGTGAGCCGAGATCACGCTGCTGCACTCCAGCCTGGGCGACAAAGTGAGACTCCATCTCAAAAAAAAAAAGAGGAAGAATTAAAATTACTTGCTTTCTTAAAAAAAAATACAACTTTGCTTTCTTACATTGTAACAAAGTTTCAAAGACGTGTCTTTTGAAATCATCAATCCAATTTTTAGCCACATTTTCAAGTAAGGATATAAAAAATGTAAAAGGCAGTTTAAAAAAACATATTTTTCAAAATATTAGATATACCTTTGTTGTCAAAATATTTTAAATCTGGCGTGTCTCATAGAACAGACACTGTAACAATGATCAGAGAAAATTCCATTGAATCCATCTGCCAATTCTGCTTATTCCAGAGGAATCTGAACATTAAAACAAAATGAAAAATATTTCAAGCACAGTAAACATACACATTTAATGAGCAAACTTCCCGTTATCAAACATACACAGATGTTCTTAATGTTACAGTATCTGTAATGAAAATACTATATATATTTTCCAACTTTTAAAGCTCTTTATATTTCAGATCTGATACTGACATTGACTCTGAAAGAACCACAAATTACATACTTTAAAAATGTAACAACTTTGAAATACACAAGGTAACATATGTTTTATACTCAGAATCACACAAAATAAAAATATATGATAAACACTGTATTAACTGCACAAAACAGTGAAATAAACACCAGGAAGGTGTGCCATGTCATGCAGAAAAAGGTTATTACATAGGGGAAATGCTGAGGACCACTTAGGGCTTCTGAATATAGTTATTTCAAGTCTTGTATAAGAAGGGCCAGTAAGCAGTATACTAGGATTAATTTCTTCAGAAATGAAGAATGTGTAGGCTGGGTAGACTAATAGGTAAGACTGAGATGGTCCCAAGTAAATGTATACGAGGTGTATGAGAGATGGCCACAAAGACCCCTTTTCTTATACTGCCAACACAGCAGAGCCAACCTCAATCAAAGGATCTAAAATTACACAGTCATCCAGCCTGGCCAGCACGGTGAAACCCCATCTCTACTTTAAAAATACAAAAAATTAGCTGGGTGCGGTGGTACACGCCTGTAATCCCAGCTACTTGGGAGGCTGAGGCAGGAGAATCACTTGAACCCAGGAGGCAGAGGTTGCAGTGAGCTGACATCATGCCACTGCACTCCAGCCTGGGCTATAGAGTGAGACAATGTCTAAAAAAAAAATAAATAAAATTACACATTCAGAATGAATGAAAGTTTACATTTCCAAAAGTAATAGAGAGGATAAAGTCTTTTTTCCCCAATAATGTAAAATATTTTCTACTAAGGTTGTCATTACTGTGTCTTAAGCACAGCTTAGGAATCAGACATGCAAATCCCAATTATGCTATATAAGTAAATAACCTTGGCTATCTAATTTTAAGTATTTATAACCCATAGAGTTGTGAGGAATAAAATAATGTCTGTAAAGTTCTTATGTGTGCCTAGCACATGGCAGACAATAAGGAATATATATTCAGAGAATGTATTTAAACCGTTCTTTTACCTGAAAATTGACCCAGATACTTAAGTCTTATCTGATCACTCAGGAGAAAATGGATGAGAATATAATTTTGTGGGAATTAATCCATACCCAACTTCAAAATAAATTAATTACATGCTGACCTGAATAACGAGAAGGGTGTAGAGTCTTCCTTTTTCTTTTTTTAGGATACTCATTCATATCTTTTCAATCTAAAAAATGGAAAAAAAATTAACAAATATGTTACAAATAACAACTGTTAATGCCATTATAAAAATTCTAACTGAAGAATTTACTGGCAATAACAAATATGTGAGCCACTTGAAAATCTATGGTATAACAAAAATGTTAAACAATGCCTCTGTTTGTATTTCAGATTGTTTTCCAATCAGGTTTCAAGGCAGAAACTGATTTCTGTTTTCTTTCTTACGGAGGTTAAAAAATTCTTTTTCAAATGTTGATATAAATTGTGAGAACTGGATAATTACAATAAATCAAATGCTTAAGTCATTTTGTGTATATATAAAAAAAGAAACATTGTGCCTATGGCACCACATTAGGAGTTTTATAGGCACAATTCCTACCATTGGAAATATTTTCACGTAGTTTTCAAGCTAAAGGTGGAGACATTTCCTTTAAAAAAAAAAATATCATCACAAATATGTACCGGCCTCCTGGCTTCCAGAAAAAAGTACTCATCACATAGATCAGAATATAGATAATTTTCAAGAAAAAAATCATTTTCCTATTTATGAGGTCACATTCAACGTTCCACTGAGAACACAACAGGTGCAGCAACCATTGTCCAATTAAATTCTCATTAACTTATAAAATTAATTAGTTTCAATACAGTCCACTTACTTGGTGTAATTCTTACTACTGGAGTGAGGAAAAATGAATTATAATAAGTTTCTGTAGATGGTAAAAAAATGCCTGTAAGTAAAACATGAAAGAAGTTAGTAAGCAAAAAATATAGGTCATTTCTGGTACTGCATAATACAATGGTACCAGATCCTTAATCAACTGGAAAGTTATACAGAACTACTTAAGATACATTATTTTGAAAATAATGTACTACGTACTAAAAACTATATATTGATAAATGTGATTATATGTAAATTTCCACATTTCTTTGAAATGATTCACATTCTATAGTTTTTTTTTGAGACAGTCTCACAACTGACCTATAGTTAAATCTTTTGATACCAAAATAAAAATATGAATCTGAATTTATTCATCCATAAGGAAAGCAAGCATAATGAAAGCAAATCAAATTATAAACTTTTTTTTTTGTTTTTGAGGATTTGGAGTTTTCCTCTTGTCACCCAGGCTGGGAGCTGCCAGATGGTTTTGATCTCAGCATCACTGCCAACCTTCAGCCTCCTGGGTTCATGCGATTCTCCTGCCTCAGTCTCCCAAAGTTAGCTGGGATTACAAGGACGCTTCGCGCACCACATGGCGGCTTAATTTTCGTATTTAGCAAGATGGTGGTTCTCATGTGGCCAGGCGGTGCCCTATCCCGACCCAGGTGACGCCCATCCGGTCCCTCCCCAAAGGTGGCTTTGGGATTCAGGTTGGTCACTGCCCTTGCCTGCGCCCAAAATAAACTTAAACTGTGACGCAGTCCCTTATAGATTCCCCTATATAAAAATAAGAAGGGGCTTTGGCGGCACGGTGGCGCTCACGCATATAATTCCAGCACTTTTGGAGGCCGAGGTGGGTGGATCGACCGCCAGCGTCGAAGAGATTGGAGACCAACCTGGCCCAACATGCGGTGAAGATCCTGCTCTCTTCGCCTAAAAGTACAAAACAGTCAGCTGGGGTGGGTGGCATGGGCACGACCTGCCATTCGCTAGTTACTCGAAGGAGGGGCCTAAGGCCAGGAGAATCGCTTGAACCGCGGAGGTGGAGGGGCTGCAGTGAGCCTGACATCAGCCACTGTACTCCAGCCTGAGGGTAACAGAGCAAGAACTCCCTTCTCAGAAACGAAAAAAAAGCAAAAAAAGAAGCTAAAAGGTCAAAATGATAATAATTACTGACACCAATTTATGTTACCGCAGGCTGTGAACAATACTTGTTATCTCATTTGTATCCTATGTAATGTTAGAATGGAGTGCACATTTCCAATCACCCTCTCCACAACATAACATGAGGCTTCCTGCTATTTGATGAGGAAACGTAGGCACAGCAAGTCAAAGCTAGATACTCAGTAAATGCTAGGGGTTGGGGATTTGAATAAAGGTTTACTCCAATTTTATGTTATCAATGTATTTATTTATTTGACGAACAGAGTCTTCGCTCTGTCACCCAGGGCTGAGGGCAGTGGATGTGATCCTTGGGTCGACTGCAACTCTCTGCCTCCCAGCTCAAGTGATTCCCCCACTGCTTCAGCATCCTGAGGTGGCTGGGGATTACAGCGGCCCGCAGCACAGCCCAGCTAATATTTTGTATCTTTTAGTGGGATGACGGGGTTCACCATGTTAGCCAGGCTGGTCTTGAACTCCTGACCTCAATGATCATGCCCACCTCGGCCTCCCAACAGTGCTGGATTACAAGGGAATCGCAGCACACCGCGACCGCTAATGCTTTTAACATCAGGTGGATACACATGACAAGTGCTCTAGTTGAGGGTGCACAATACTATTTTGCTGCTGTCGCTAACTGTTCTGAGGTATGAGCAGCACTAAACGCATAACAATACAGCCAAGGAATAGTGCGTTTTTCAGTTTATTAAGATAGTGCTTTTTCAGTTTATTAAGCATTTTCCTAACCCTTATTCTACTTCATCTTCAAAATGGTCCTGTGAGGTACATGGAAGGAGGGTTACTAACACAACCCATTTACCATTTTTACTGATATGGAAACAGCCTTAGTGAAAGTTAAGTCAATTAATAAGTGGGAGAACCAGAGATGAAATGCATGTACATCTTGCTTCCCAGTTCTAGCTAGCAGGGGGGAGAAGGGAAAGGGAATAGCCTAGAGAAACGATAACCATGAAATGTACAGAAATGATACCATATTTAAAATGCCTCACCTCGCCGGGCGACCGGTGCTCACACCTGTAATCCCAGCATTCTTGGGAGGCCGAGGGTGGGCGAGATCACCTGAGTCGCGGAGTTCAAGACTAGCATGACCAACATGGAGAAACACCCCTCTCGACTGAAAATACAAAATCAGCTGGGCATGGTGGCGCATGCCTGTAATCCAGCTTACTTGGGAGACCGAGGCATGAGCATCAACTTGAACCCGGAAGGCGGAGGTGGTGGTGAGCCTACGATCACATCATTGTCCTCCAGCCTGGGCAACAAGAGCGAAATTCCATCTCAAAAACAACACAACAATAACAAAAAACAAAACCAAAAAAAAACCAAATAATGGCCGCGCTCACCTAACAATGTAAACAATTGTTCCTTGAGTAACCATCTCAATTCACTGCACTCAAAATTTAAAAAAAGAGCTATTACTATCTTTATGTAATAAACTAAAATTTCAAGACTTATTAATACCTCTTTTGTACACTTCCAGGATTCATATAGCCCAAAGCTTCACACTTCACGTTCTAAATACTCTAAAAGTATCAGGGAGAACACTGAAAACCGTCAGATGAACATGTTAAGTAGTCTCTTGTTATTTCAGAATGTATCTCAAGTTCTTTAGAACTTGAAGAATAAAAGTAAGAAAAGAAAACCAAGCGTGGTATTAAAATTAACGTTGCAAGCTGGCCTGGATTCAGGCTGTTAGTTGAGAGGAGTAGGCACACGGATCAGGAAGGGTTTGACTCCTACTTAGGGCGGAACAATATCCAAATGTCCATCGGACTTCCTTTCAGCACGATGGTGAGATGCCTATTCAAGATCAAAAATGCTAACCATCCTTCATTTTAGCAAACATTTTTATGTGCCTTTTGTGTGCATAACAGCCTTGAAAAAACTTAGCTTTTTACTCAAGGACATCAGAAACATTTGCCCACTAGTCTTCTTAGCAGGAAGATTCTGAATCACAAGCAACTTATCACACAGTTCCCCCCTACCCCCGAAATACAAACGACATATGTAACACGTGTCACTGCAGGAAAATCAGAAAAATGTTTTAAAAACTTTATATCACCTAGAAACCAACATCTTTCCACCTGTCATTTTTTTCAACCAACAAGAATGTCTATGCACAAAATACAATACATACAACAGGTAGTCAGCAATTATCAAACAGATAAACATTTTAAAAGGCTTTTCATGCAATGTGTAGTCTTTCTTCCTAATTGGTATAAGATGTCTTTACAGTAAATAACTCCATTTTTAACGAGTTTAAAAAGAGTTAAGCTTTCTTTTTCGTTCTCATTAAAATAAGTGTACGCTTTAAATTGTAAAGAATGGAAACAAAACATGTTGCAGGAAAGCCTGAACTAGAATCCACTACACGTCCAACGTGGAGGCAGTCTTTACTGCAATACCACACGGTCACTCAATACTTGATTCGCTATTTTTCAGTCCGCCATAAATCTTTCTCTTTGCAAAAAAAAAAAAAGTATAAACTGCTTCAAATTACTCGTTTCCCTAGGCAGTACTTAAAAACAAAACCAAAAAAGGGTTTCTAAGCACTGTAATGAGTGGAGCGACTCTCGGCTGGAGGCTTTGGGCGCCAGCATCGACGCCTGCTCTCCGCGGCTACAACTCTTTGCGCGAGCCCGGGGATTCGCTGCCGGAGGTCACGAAGCCGCCGGGCAGGGCCGCAGCGCCGGCGAGGACCGAGGGGCGTACCGAGCCCGGACGCAGCCAGACAAATGCCAGTCGGAAGCGCACGGCAGGAGTCCCCGGGACTTAGCTGCCTCCACCCCGGCGCCACGCACCAGCCTCGCCCGGGCCCAGAAGTCGGCGCCGAGGAGACTCCCAAGCCCCGACCCCAAAGGTTCCGTAAAGACAACGGCAGTAGGGGGCCGAGGCGAGCCCGGCCAAGCCGTCCTGCGCAGGGGGTGGAACTGCCACCGGGATGGGGGAGGGGAACGCCATCCCGCCATATAATGAAGGCAGAGTTTCCGTGTAAAGGGAGCTCCAGTCTCTCCCGCCCTCTCCCGTTGGAAGATGCGCCCGCACGCCCGCGTCCCCTGGAGCAGTCCAGCGCCCGGCCCACCCGCTCCTCCCTCATACTCACCAGTCAGTCCCCCCGGGCCCGCCCGGCCGGCCCACGCGCAGCTCAGAAGCGGTGGCTGCCGAGGTGCCGGAGCGCGGGCGGAGGGGCCGCGCGGTCCTTCCCGCGGACGCACGGTGGCGGGCAGCGCTGCTCCGGCCCTAGCGCTCCCCCGGCCCTAGCGCTCCCGGACGCTGTGTTGGGCCCACCCCTCTCCCTCCCCGCGCGCTCCACGCCCTGCGCGCCGGGTCCCCGGCGTAGGCTCGGCGACCGCACTGCCTTGGCCGCCTCGGTCCGCGCCTGCGCCGCGCACCTCAGGGGCCCGCCGAGAGGGCGGGGAGGTGACGAGGTGAGGTGGGGGCAGGGAGCGGGCTGCGCCAACGCACCGCACACGCGGCCTGGGAGGGACCACCGACCCGCAGCCCCGGGGAACGCCCAGCGGCCCGCGCCCCCTGCCGGAGGCCTTGCGCCGCCGCAGTCTCCTTCTGGGCGGGGAAGAGCCCCTCCCGAGCCCCGAGGGTGAGCCCACTCTCTAGGATTGCTCCACGCCAGGCGGCCAGCGAATTTACCCCCGCCCGCCTCCAGCGCCCCCTCGAGCCCTGGGGAAGTGGGAGAAACGTGGCGCGCAGCGGCAACTTTCCCCGCGCTGCTCAAGGGAAAGGACGCGAATGGTCTTGCCCAGGTTAGGCAAAGCAGATGGCATTTCACACCCCAAAGTGTGCCAGCAGCCTGTTGGGGACAGAAAGGCCGAGGACCGCGTCACGGTTTACTGAGGCCACACCAGAGAACCACCCAGGGCTGGGATGCTGCCCTCAGGGCAAGAGGGTGAAACCTGAAGACTGCGAGTCGGTGTTGGGTTTCACCCGATTCCTTGGCTCGAGAAATAGTCGAATGAATGAGGAGTTAAGGGGGACTGGACTCGACGATTTAAGTCCTTTCTCGACTTTTGACTTGCTTTGAGCAGCTGTGGAAATGATTAAATTACGCGAGCATAAATAAATTTGTGAACATGGTTCCATAAATGATCTCTGTGCAAGTGTGGTGATATGTTTAATTCAATCCTTTTGATGAGTTGAGGTTTTTAGTCACATTTTACAAAATAGAAAAGTAAATGTGTGAGAAGCTAAAGACTGGGTCTTAATTCATTTTGGTGGCCTAAGCCCCTGAGGTTCAAACGGTTAAAAGGATGACTGAGAGCCACGTGGATTATCAGGTACCCAAGGTCACGCGGATAGTGAGGACTGCAATGATGTCTCTTTATTCATGTCCACTGCGTTTTCTGATAACCACATGCTAATCAACTGGAAAGTAATCGCTGGAAAGTAATCACAGACTTTGATCTCTTCACCATCGCCCAGGAGATAAAGCTGTATTTGAAAGAGACACTGCTTGCTTGTTTGTGAGGCTCAGTTTTTATGACCTCCTAATTTTTATGTGCGTACTCAGCTCAAATAAGCTAATGTTCACGAATGCTAGTATGGTCCGAATTACAGTTCAAAGAAATGTAGAGACATTTTTAAATCCTAGAATAGTTAGTATCTAGCACAGAACCGGGAATCAGCGCAAACCACAAGGGGGTGTCATGCCACCATCTTACCGTTTTGCTCACACATAGCCTTGTGTCCAAAAGATCTTTATATTTCAAAATGAAGTTTTACTCCAAAACATTTTGTTGTGAAAGTAAACGCACACTCTCCCCAGCATCCCGTGTATTGTTTGCACTTAGAGGAACATGATGTTGTTTAGATGTTGTTTAACATAGTCACAAATTGCAAGCAATTCAAGTTCTTGATTAGCTGGAGTGTTTTTCAGTTTCATTTTTGGGTCCCTCTTTTCCTCCAGCTCCAAGGGAAGGTGATAGCTGGGATAAAACCCTGAAGTCTCAAGAGTACTAAACTGTAGAGTTTGTTCAATACTATTATAAATTTGATTCAGGGCTAATAAAACATCATTCTTCCAACTTTTTCACACATTTGTAGAATAGCCTAATTTCTCCTTACTTCCGTCCGTCCTTCCCTCCTTCCTTCCCTCTCTCTTCTCTTCTCTTTTTTCTTTCTTTCTTTCTTTCTTTCTTTCTTTCTTTCTTTCTTTCTTTCTTTCTTTCTTTCTTTCTTTTCTTTTTCTCTCTTTCTCTCTCTTTCTTTTTTCTTTTCTTTTCTTTTTTTGACAGGGTCTCACTCTGTCGCCCAGGCTGCAGTACAGCGATGAGATATCGGCTCACTGCAACCTCCACCTCCCAAGTTCAAGCGATTCTCGTGCCCCAGTCTTCAGATTAGCTGTGATTACAGGCGCGCGCCACCACGCCCGGCTAATTTTTGTATTTTTAGTGGCGATAAGATTTCCCCCATATTGGCCAAGCTGGTCTTTAGCTTCTGGTTTCAAGTGATCCACCTGCCTTGGCCTCCCAAAGCGCTGGGATTACAGGCGCGAGTCACCACGCCCGGCCACTTAATTTCTTCCTGATTAGAAAAGAGTTAAATTTTTTGGCCGGGCGCGGTGGCTCAAGCCTGTAATCCCAGCACTTTGGGAGGCCGAGGCGGGTGGATCACGAGGTCAGGAGATCGAGACCATCCTGGCTAACATGGTGAAACCCCGTCTCTACTAAAAATACAAAAAACTAGCCGGGCGTGGTGGCGGGCGCCTGTAGTCCCAGCTACTCGGAGGCTGAGGCGGGAGAATGGCGTGAACCCGGGAGGCGGAGCTTGCAGTGAGCCGAGATCGCGCCACTGCACTCCAGCCTGGGCGACACAGCGAGACTCCGTCTCAAAAAAAAAAAAAAAAGAAAAGACTTACATTTTTAGTACATAATGGAGACAACAGAAAAGTACAAAGAGCAAAAGTAAATTTACCATAATCTCACAACCCTGAGCTCATCAATGGTAACATTTTGCTTTATATCTTTTCGTTATTTTTATACCTATTCAGACATATAAATTTGTTTTCAAAATTAGAATATTGGTTGTGTTTTTTTCTAACAGGTTCTTTTTTCCAATTAGTATAGCATGAGCATTCTTTATGGTTTTTTGTTTGTTTGTTTTTTGAAACGGAAATCTTGCTCTTTCACCCAGGCTGGAGTGCAATGGCCTGATGTCAGCTCACTGCAACCTCCTCCTCTCGGGTTCAAGAGATTCTCCTGCCTCAGCCTTCCAAGTAGCTGGGATTACAGGCCTGTACCACCATGTCCCACTAGTTTTTGTATTTTTTGTAGAGATGGGGTTTCACCATGTTGGTCAGGTTGGTCTCGAACTCCTAACCTCAGGTGATCTGCCCGCCTTGGCCTCCCAAACTGCTGGGGTTACTGGCGTGAGCCACCGTGCCCGGCCTCTTTATGTTATTAAAGTGTTAATAGCACCTTAAAATCACTATAAGTTAAACAGTGGACATTTAAGTTGTTTCCATTATTTAAAATGCTTTACCAATTTGTTAAGTAAAATATAGTATTCCATTTTAATACGCGTAATACATATTTTTGTATGAAATGGAATATTTTCTGATGTGCTTATTAACTACCCCTACCCCTGCCCCCGGCCCCCCAGACTGGGTCTCATTAGGCTGGAGTGCAATGGCATGATCTCACCTCACTGCAACCTCCACCTCCCGGGTTCAAGCGATTCTCCTGCCTCAGCCTCTGAGTAGCTGGGATTACAGGCGCCTGGCACCACACAGAGCTAATTTTTGTATTTTTAGCAGAGACAGGGTTTCACCGTGTTGGCCAGGCTGGTCTCAAACTCCTGACCTCAGGTGATCTGCCCACCTTAGCCTCCCAAAGTGCTGGGATTACAGGCGTGAGCCACGGCACCTGGTCTGCATATTTGTACTTATTTCATGAATTCTCAGTTTATGTCCTTTGCCCTTTTTTTAAATAGGCTATTCATCTTTTTTTAACTAAAAATTTTAGCCTTTTACTTGTCATATCTGTTGCATGTTTCTTTTTCTCTCTTTCTCTCTCTCTCTTTTTTTTTTTTTTTTAGAGATAGAGTCCTGCCCTGCAGTCCAGGCTGGAATGCAGTGGTGCTGTTGGCTCACTGCAGCCTCGACCTCCCAAGCTCAAGCATTTTTACCACCTCAGCCTCCCAAGTAGCTGGAATTGCAGGCCTCACAGAACCACATGTGGGTAATGTTTTAAATTATTATTTTTTGTAGAGACCAAGTCTCTTTATGTTGCCAGGGTTGGTCCCGAACTCCTGGGCTCAACTGACCCTCCTGCCTCAGCCTCCCAAAGTGCTGGGATTACAGGCATTAGCCACTGCACCTGGTCTGCATATTTCTTTGTAGTTTGTTGTTTGCTTTTTACTTTTGTTAGTGGTACAAACATTTTAAATTGTAGCGAAAGTAAGTCTATTAATCTTTTCCTTTGCAAGTTCTGTTTTTGGTCTTTTGCTGAAATAATCTTTTCTTCTATGCAAGATCTGGTTGCATTTTTTGCTTTAACTTTTTAGTTTGTCTGTAATTTATTTTGGGATATGGGATGAAGAGAACTCTTTCTCTCTCTGTCATGATCCTTTTGTCTTCTTTCTCTCCATCTTGTATAACAGCCTGAAAAGAAATTTGTAAGAAATAAAATAGCTTCATCTGATGCTCAAGTAATCTCATAAGGCATTAGTTTTCAAACATTTTCTGCATCAGAATCACCAGAAGATCTCACTGAAGTTCAGACGTCTGTGCTTTATCCCAGAGTTTCAAACTGGGTAAGTGTGGACTAGGGCCTGAGTAGGTGCAGTTCTAACAAATTTCCTTTTGATGTCCATGCTGCTGGCCTGTGATCACATCTGGAGAACCACTATCCTAAGGCTTTCCTCACCCAACCCCACACTAACCATATGGTATTTCTCACTATTCCACAGATATGCTCTGCCTTTTTCTCACTTGTGTGATCTAGCATGTTTATTCTACCTGCAATTTGTTTCCTTTCTGTCTGTAAGATGAAGCTCACAGTTGATCTCTTCTATGAAACCTTGATTTTCCCTTGCTGAAATCTCTGATCAATCTTTAGAGACTCCACAGTAGTTATTACATTTGTCCCCTTATCCCCAGAGATGGATTTACTGTGAAGTTATTGAAGCTTAAATTTCAAGTCCCTTCAGTTGCATGAACCTCTTCCAAGACCAGGTTCTTAATTTTGTATTATTTATTTTGAGACAGAATCTCACTCTGTCGCCCAGGCTGAAGTACAGTGGCATGATCTCGGCTCTCTGCAACCTCCTCCTTCCAGGTTCAAGCGATTCTCGTGACTTAGCTTCCCAAGCAGCTGGGAGTACAGGTATGTGCCACCATGCCTGGCTAATTTTTGTATTTTTAGTAGAGGCAGGGTTTCACCATGTTGGCCAGTCTGGTCTCAAACTCCTGACCTCAAGTGATCCACCTACTTTGGCCTCAACAAAGTGCTAGGATTA